ACACACCACAGTGAAGGGAGGGACACACCACAGTGAAGAGAGCAGTGTGAGGGGAATGGGTTTGGCACTAAGTGCACTGGCAGGGTGATCTCAGGATAGTGTTTGTGTAGAGTGGAGAGAGAGGACTGTGCTAAATGCAGCTGCTTGTAGGAAGAGAAAACACCTCAGATTTATTGTTTGAAAATACTGTTTTGAAATTTGACAATTCCCAGAATTCCTTTCAATAAGTTGTATGTAGTGTGTTCCCCCTCCATTTTTGTGCTGGTTTACACATGAACATACACACTCATGCACATGCAAACACACACTCATACTCATGTGCACTCACTCACATACATGCACATGCAAACTGGAAAATTGATGTATTTCACAGTGATAGATGAGCATCTGCAGAAGGGAGTGGACATTTTGACCAGCTACATCAATGAACTTCGTACTTTCATGATAAAGTTTCCTTGGAAGCCAGCAGATGCCACTGATGAATATGACATAAACCAAGATGTCCTCACAGTAAAGGAGGGAAAAATTTGGGAGAAACTCAACTTTGAGGTAACTATGAGTACTCATCATATCTCTTTTCTGGATTCAGATAGCCTAAGAACACACAGAAGAAACAGAATTTAGAGTCTGTACACTATGGTATGGAGCTTTGGTTTTACTGCTGTGGTTTCCCAGGACATGATTTCAAATCTGTTATCTCTAGGTCCTGCTTATTTATTTATTTATTTATTTGTTTGTTTGTTTGTTTGTTTGTTTTTTCAAGACAGGGTTTCTCTGTGTCTTTCAAGGCTGTCCTAGAACTAGCTTCTATAGACCAGGCTGGTCTCGAACTCACAGAGATCCACCTGCCTCTGCCTCCCAAGTGCTGGGTTATAGACCTGTACCACCATTCTCTCCAGGGCGTTTGGCCTCTTGCATTTTTTGACTTCTGGATAAACGGAATTTCTTCTGGCAGTCAGATCTTAGGGATGTCCTATGACATCATTACTAGGAAGCCACTTGAGTCCTACTTGTTACAAATTCTAGTGAACGCTTTTGCCATTTAACCCTTCCATCTATCCATCTGTCTGCTTGTCTTTTCACAGAGGTAATTAGTTAAAAGTGTTTGACTGGGCGCCTGGGAGAGTCCCTCCCCCATGATGAGTATGGGGTTGGAGAGGCAGAGCCAATGGCTCAATGCAGATGCTGATGGCAGCAGAGTGAACGGATAAGCAGAGCTTTGGCTGTGTCCTCAGGACTGCTGCTGGAGGGCGGAGGGCAGAGAGCGTTGAGTGACTGCTTTTCCTCATTCTCTTCTTCCCTCTCTACCCAGAAGCTCACTGTTCTTGCTCACTTTTGTCTGCCTTCTTTCTGTCTGCTTTGCAGGTCTCTCTTCTTGTGTTCCTCCCTTTAGTGTGTTCTAGAGAACTGTCAACACTCTTTCTCAGAATCACTGATCTTTAACTCTTTCTCTGTGTGTATGTATGGGCTGGGTGTTGATGGGGACTACAGTTAACTGTGATGTAAGCTGTGGTCTCCAGAACCGTATGTGTGCAGGTGCTCACACAGTTTTCCACATGGACACTGTGACTTTCGGTGCTGTTAAGGCCTTGTTAAGAGTGACAGGTAGATCTCTGTGAGTTCGAGGTCAGCCTAATATATAGAGCAAGTTCCAGAACAGCCAGGGCTCTACAGAGAAGCCCTGTCTCAGAAAGCCTCCGTTTTGTTCTCTGGGCTCAGATCTTTAATTTTTGCAGTGATCTTCCCACACCTCATTATCTTGACCTTCAGTTGCTTTCAGCCCATTCCATGCTGCTTCCTAAAGTAAGTGATAAGTGTGCCCTCTTGCTGTGAAACTCGTACAGTGGCTCCACACACGTTTCAGGATAAAATGCATCTCATGCACACACGGGCTCATTTTGCATTTCTGCACAGTGTCCCTCCTTTTGGAATACCTGTCTTCTGACCAGTTGTCTCTACTAAGAAGTCACCTGACCCCCTTTCCGGTCACTCTTCCTTCTGTGCAAATGTCGCAGCCTGTATCAGTGAGCAAGCACTATAAATGGTGCTGTGGGGTCCTGGGCTGCAGAGTCAGTTCACAGCCCCAGCACCCTTCCAAGAAGATTTTTCAGTCAAAAGCCCCTTAGTAGGTGTCTAATGTATATACATTTTCTGCATTGGTAATCATAATAAAAAAACCACAAGGAGCTTAAACTTACATTTTTCTTCTTTTTCCTAGGAAGTTATTGCAGATGCCATTTTAAATAACAAAATACCAGAGGCACAAACTTTCTTCAGGATTACTAATCATTCTGCTCAACGACTCGAGGAGCTGGTCAGGATAGGCCTGGATTTGGTGTTTGACAGTTTGAAAAGGAACAATGTAGAGGAAGCCTCCATGCTCTTGAGGAATATGGTGAGTGGTAATGATTGTCTCTGATGTATAGGAAGACTTTACCCCACCCCCCTTTTTTTTTTTAAGTCAAAGTCTCTCTATAAGCCAGGATGACCTGGAACTCACTTTATAGCCCAGACTGGCCTCAGACTTATTCATGATCCTCCTGCCCCAGCTTCAACATGTTGGGATTACAGGCATGAACCACCACATCCCTTGTTTTTGTTTGTTCTTAGACATGGTCTCACTATGTAGCCCAGGCTGGCCTTTAACTCACTGTCCTCCTGACACAGCCTCTCAAGCGCTTGTACTATCTTACCTTCTGAGACAATGGTTTTCGTAGAAGACTTCACACCTGTCATGCATAGGGCCTCAGTTTTGCTGGAGAACAATCTATATTCTTCATGTGAGTCCTTACATCTGCATTTGAACTTTCTGGTGGATTGTGCACTGGCTTAGGGCTTTATGTTCCCTAGTTTTGCTTCATTTGAGAAGGGAAGTCCTGGACAAAGCAGGGCTTCTGAGCTAAGTTAAGATCGGGTCCTCAGCTGTGTGGCTGGAGTCTTGCCCACGAAAACTTTTCTGAAAGTACAGATATGTTTGTTGTTTCTGTCAACCTTTGGTTACAAGTAAGCCACCAAAGCAGTTTGTTGTAGTCTTTCTTGGTCCTCGGTTGCCTAGTATTAACTTAATTGTACTGTGTCTTGCTTTGCTCTGGGAAAATAAATAAGGGCTTTGGGGACAAGCAATAGATACATATAACTGATGTAGAAAGTAGATACTCCCAAGAGCAGTGTGCTGTTCTAGCAGGACACATGTCTACAGGAGAGCATTTCTGCATCTAACATATTTATATTCAAATGGGTTCATTACAAATGTAAGCTTTTAAAATTTCATTTTATTTTAGGGCTTCAGTGTGGAAGATGAGTTGCTCAAGATATGCTTTTATACAACTGATAAAAATATACGGGACTTTTTGGTAGGTAAAGGTGTGACTGTGTAGCTTCCATTTTTCATTTTGAGACAGGCTCTTGGTATGTAGTCCGGGCTATCTTCCAACTCCTAATCCTTGTGCCTCAGCTTTTTGGATGCTAGGATTATAAGTATGGCTGGCTGTGGATTACAATTTTTTTAAAGATTTTATTTATTTATTTATTATGTATACAACATTCTGTTTCCATGTATATCTGCACACCAGAAGAGGACACCAGATCTCATAACGGATGGTTGTGAGCCACCATGTGGTTGCTGGGAATTGAACTCAGGACCTCTGGAAGAGCAGTCAGTGCTCTTAACCTCTGAGCCATCTCTCCAGTCCCTGTGGATTACATTTTTATTAGACCATTTTGATGAAAAAAATTTTTAACTTTAAAATAAATAATTTTAGTATCTCAGAAATATATAAGTAAACATGATAATCCTTTTAAATGATTATGAGTATTTTGGCATTTGACATTATGGTAAAGGAAAATTTATATGAACGTAAATTAACTTAAAAATGCAGTTTAGAGGGTTGGCAAGGTGACTCTGTAGATAACGGCTCCTCCTGGCAAGCCTGGCTGCCTGAGTTCTATCCCTGGGACCTCTGACTTCCACAGGTACCCACTATGCCACACACGCACATACAAAATAGATAATGGAATAAAACATTTTTAGTGTAGAATACAATTTCCTCTCCTCCCCCCCTGCTTTCTCCCTACTTCCTTTCCTCTTCTTCTCTCCCTTTCCCTTCCTCTTCCTCCCCCTCTCCCAACTCTTTTTTTGTGGTACTGTGGATCAAGCCCAGGGCCTGAGGCACGCTAAACAAACATTCTACCAGCCACATTCTCCACCCCAGAATATAATTATTAAATGGCATTTAATCTCATGGCCTTTGTTTTGCAAATGTTCCTGATTTTTGTGTGGTCATTACTCTAATTGCTTTTTATCCAAGGTTGAAATTTTAAAAGAAAAGGAATGTTTTTCTGAAAAAGAAAGAAGAACTATAGACTTTGTTCATCAAGTTGAAAAGTTTTATTCAGGACGTTTCCAAGAAAATGTGCAGATGCAGCCCTTTCCCAGGTAGGTTCATTAGTCCCCATAGGTACTAATGGAGGGAGACTGTGGGTAGCACTTATCTGTAATAATTGTGAGTATTCCTTTCTTACATGGAGCTGAGCATCCATTCCTCAGGAAGGTAAAATTTATATCTTAAAGAAGGGCATCAGCTGGGTGGGCAGTGGTGGCACACACCTTCAATCCCTTTAATATTGGGAGGTTGAGGCAGTTGGATCTCTGAGTTCTAGGATAGCCTGGTCTATAGAGTGAGTTCCAGGATAGCCAGGGCTACACAGAGAAACCCTGCCTTAAAAAAAATAAACAAAAATTTACATACAGTGTTTTTAGATATTGGATAAAGGAACAGGACTATCTCAAGCACAAATCTATCTTGGACACATTCCTCAAGCATGATCAGAAAGATGAGTTTAATGACCAGCACCAAAGAATTGCGCTGAATTGGGCTCACTGGTGGGATCAGCAAACACAAGAATGCATCCTTCTCCCCAGGATAAGTCCAGAAGGCAAGTACGAAGGCACCTGAAATGTGAGCATATTAAATGGGGTTGGGGGGTAAGTTAGTCATTAATGTTTTAATCTTTGGGCATCTCTACTTTAGAATTCCTTTTGGTGGGGGAGGTTCACTTTCTTTAAAATTCAGCCATTGAACTAAATGTGGTGGTGAAAAACGTTCATGAGGTTCAATGAGTGGATATTGTCAAAGCCAAAAGTTATCACTGCAGCTTCAGAGTGGGTCTGTTTTTCCAAACAGTTTCTGAGTTTCTTACATTTATTGGGGATTAGTTTTACACCAGGCTCTGGAGCATAGCTAACTGGTGATCAATGATAAATTATAGCATCAAATTCATGCTTACTGTGTAGCCTGAGTTTCTCATGTTGCAGAGGAGAAGGCCGACAGCTTCAGTGCCATTCAGCTTCATTCTAACTCTGTAGTGAGGAACCCTTCACTCTTCCCATCTATAGGGTTGATTATAAAAAAGAAAACAAAAAGAAGCAGGGGGCCTGAGTGAACCACACATGATATGGGCACGTGTAGTCAGTGACCATTGCATATGGAATTACAAGTCAGAAACCATAGTTCACTGCTATTTTAAAAGGTGTCTTGTTCCTCATATAGAATACAAAGCACATTCCCCGGACTCCCTCTGGAGGTACCTCACGGCTCGCCATGACTGGTCAAACATTAGCTTGTGGATTGAAGAATTTCAGACCCAGGAAACAGGGCCACCTCATCAGAACAAGTGGCCCCCTCTGAGTGCTGACATCATTGATCAGAATACTTGTTGCAACAATTACATGAAGAATAAGATTCTAGACAAGCTGGCCAGGTACTGTAACCATGAGATTAAAGTCCAGTGGGGAGGATAAAAGAAAGGAAAATTAAAAATAATACTTAACAGTAATGGTGAGGGGAGAGTGCTTCCCTGTGCCTGCAGGCCCTTGCTGTGTCAGTGTGTGTGCTCAAGGTATACGATTGCACACATGAGGCCTTTCTCTTTAAATGACCACACATTCAGTGCAGTGTTGCTTCATCACACAACATTTAAATGGGATTATTTTAATGTCGTGGTGGTGAAGAGATTCTTGAATTCTAGATGGAGGCTCTCCCCACAGCATTTTGTGCCTTCTGTTGTTTGTTGTGAGACAGGGTCTTGTGAGGTAGCCCAGATTGGGCTGGAACTTGCTACATCGTGTTCTGATGTACAGTTGTCATTAGAACTTTAAGGAGCAAGTGACAGGAGGCAAGACATGGATGCCCCAAGATGAGGTTCCCTGTGACTGTGTCTGCTCTTCTTGGACGATAAGTCACCACATCCATCTGCTGTATGGTCTTGACCTGCAGAGGACTGTGGGAATAAGACACAGAGCAGAGTGGCAATTTTAGCTCGTGTCTAAAGATAATTGTATTAGATCTAACCATGTGAGCTTGTCGTCTGTGTGAGTCAGCAGTAGTTGACTGTCAGGTTTCTTGTGATTCCATCTCATCTGTCTTCCTGTGAGGAAAGTCAGGTGTGCACATCAGCATGTTTCTTGTACTGTTTCACACGTTGCTCTCCGTTTGTACTTACTGGGAATGCACTTACGCTGTCGGTCCTCACAGCGTGCAGATGCAGAGTCAGATCCAGGGAAGTGATGAAGAGCTTTGCCTAAGCCTCTCACTTATGCAGTGGGGTCCTTTGGCATCTGGTTTTATGGTAGAATTTAGATGATCACTATGCTGCCTTAGCATTTCATTGTTTAAAAAAACTAATTTATCTGATTTAATATGAATTGAAAAATTCATGCTAAGCATGGTAGCATGTGTCTTTAATCCCACTCTGGTGGCAGAGACAGGCAGATCTCTGAGTTTGAGTCCAGCCTAGTCTACATACTGAGTTCCAAGATAGCTAGAGCTATGTAGAGAGACCTTATCTTGAAAAACCAAAAGTAAGTAAATAAATAAGTAGGAAAGAAAGATCACAATATCTATCATATAATTATATTAAAGGGGGAAATCGTACCATCCTAAGGTATTGATGAGCGAGCCCTGAAGTTGTGAGCTTAGGAGAGCTGTCCCCATTACTCATCTGTCATGTGGTTCATGGACTGGGGAGAGATGCCCACATGCCTCCCACCATCAACGCTTGAGGCAGGTGGAGGAGTTAGCCCTGAGGTCATACAAGTGGGAGAGCTGTTCCTGCCCCTATACCTCACCTGGGCAACTCAGTAGAGCTGGCCCTGAAGGTTAGGTGTAGGAAAGCCAACCCTGAGGATGTGAAAGCCAGAGAACTGGCCCTGGCCTTGCTCACCGCTGCAAGGGGTGAACTAGCCAGGGCAAAGCTGGAGAGCTCACCCTGGTGGCGAAGACAGAGGAGAGCTGGTAGGCTGACCAACCCTGTAAGTACTCAGGCCCAGAACCAGAGTTATATTGGCCCACTCCAAAATCCACCCCATCTGTGATCTGCTGGAGCACAGGGGTGGGAGCTGGGGAGGCTGTGGACTCCAGAATCTTCATGACACAGGGAGCAATGGTATGTCCAGGAAGAGTCCAGTGAGGGCCCAGTATGGATAGTGTAGCAGAGACCAGGGCCTCCCACCAGACCATGATTCTTTGCAATGAACGCCTGCATGTAAGAATATATGGATAAAAGGTTTCACTGCATGACTCACTGGTCACACTGCAGCTTCCAGGACAGGACTGTCTCCTTCCCTTTTTTCTCTTGAATTTTATTTTGTCTTATTGTGGGGGGGGAGGGGGAATGGATGGGTGGGATCAGGAGGCATGGTGTGAAAGATATAGAATAAATAAAAAGAAAATTAAAAAAAAAGAATTAGGGTAGAGAATAATATACTCATTTTTTAGAGTAAAGTTCAAAGTATACAAAAATCAAACTACATACTATTGAGGTTGGTTATAGTTATAAAACTGAATTAAAAGTTAAGAATTAGTGACTACAAAGTCAGGCAAATAGGGGTTGCTGTAGAGCACGAAGTGGGAAGGAATACACCAGTAGCTTCAAAACACAACTGTCTATAATCAGAGTACCAGTTATGTGATATTTCTATTATCAAAGTATCTGTACTTTTTAAAAATATTAATTTATTTTATTTCATGTACATGAGTGTTCTGCTTACACGTGAGTCTGTGTGCCACAATCATGCAGTGCCCATGGAGGCCAGAAGAGGGCATCAGATCCTCTGGAACTGGAGTTACAGATATTCGTGAGCCTCTGTGTGGGTGCTGGAAATTGAACCCAGGTCCACCAGAAGAGCAGTCTGTGTTCTAACCACCAGGCCATCTCTCTGGCCCTTATATGGCATTTCTTTTAACTGTGTGTGTGTGTTTTCAAGATCTTTTTGTATGGCAGTTTTGATGTGTTTAGTAGTAAATTTATGAAAAGTACAGATTTCTATCATTGTTTAGTAGTTGGTGTATTTAACTGCTGTGGCTTCTTAGCAATTTTTGTGGATGTGCGTTAACTTGAACCTTGGAACTTTTTTTTACTTCTCATCTCTCAATCCTGCCCCACAGGAGTGGGACTTTTCTTGCATCTGAACTAGAAGACTTTGAACTGTTCCTCCTGAGACTCAGCCGGATTGGGGGTGTGATGCAAGACGCCCTCCCCGTGCAGAGCTACAGAGCCTCGGGAGGGTGGGATTTTCACTCGCACTTCATCCTCTACTGTCTGGAGCACGACCTACAGCATCTTCTCTACGTCTATCTTGACTACTACAAGTGAGTGCTGAGAGCTGCTTCACATGTGCAAATATTCCTTCTAGACGGCTTTGGAACTGTTTGGGGGGCGAGTGGAGGCTTGAGACAGGACCTCAAGATAAGCATGAACTCTTGACCGTCCTGTTCTGCTGCCTAAGTGGTGGGATTACAAGGGTGTGTCGTGTGCCTGCCGACATGAACTGCTGTGTTTTTATTTGTTTTTAATACAAGGTCTCATCATGTAGCCCTGGAACTCACTGTGTAAACCAAGTTGGCCACAGCCTCACAGAGGCCTGCTTTTGCCTCCTCAATTGTGGGATTAAAGGCATCAGCTGCCACGTTTGGCACCTGAACTGCTTGGAGAAAACATTAAACATGGAGAAACTGATCCTTTTGAAGTAGTTTCTTCCACTCTAACACCTGGCACGTGTGTTATCTCAAGGTTATGTTCAGCTAAGGACAGGTGTGCGCTTTATGGACAATGATTTCATGTAGCGTCTTACTAACCTTCAGATTACTTGAGATTAGAATAAAATGATGTGTCTGGGGATGTCTGTCAGTGGCAAAGCCCATGTCTGTCGTGTGTGTGAGAGCCCATGGATTCATTTGCCATCATTGCATTAAAAAAAATGATAGAATGAAAAGCACGTTTGTTCTAAAATGCTTAAAAGAAGAAGAGATGTTAAAAGAAAGATAGAATTCACTAGCAGTTCTTGATTCTTCTCAGAGAACTCTAAAAAAACTTTAATTTCATAGCCACTGTAAAATGGATTAATTTTTAAAAATGTAGGTTTATATGGATAAATTTACATAGACCAGTATATGTCCGCCTAAGACCACCTTGTAGAATCCTGTCTGTGGCCATTGCTAATTGTTATTGGATCAGTATCAGCAGCATTAGATGTCGTCTTTGATATATGAAATGTGTGTGAATGTGTGTGCTTGTGTGGACGGTTGGGTGCACATAGAGGCCAGATGTTGACATTGAGTGAGGTCCTCAGCCCCTGTCCACCTACTTTTTCAGTTACGGTCACTCATTGGACCTCAGACTTGCTGGTGGGCTATATAGCTGGCCAATGGACTCCTGGCAATTCCCCTGTCTCTACTCCATCTCTCTAGAGCTGAGACTTAGATTTTATTTCAGACTGCTGAGTCACTTAGATTTTATGTGTGGGCACTGGGGATCTGAGTTCAGGTTCTCATTATTGCACAGCAGATACTGTCTCTCAGTCAAAGCGGAGATTACCAATGTGGCTAGTCTTGCTAGCTAGTTTGCTCTGGGGATCTGCTGTCTTCATTATCTGAGGCTGCAGTTATGTTGGTTGTCATCACTCATGCTTGCATGGCAAGTGCTTTGACCACTGAGCCATTTCCTCAGCCCCATCCTTCACATAACTTTTATATGTTGTTATTATACCTCTTTCCTTCTCTCTCTCTCTTTCTCTCTCTCTTTCTCTCTCTCTCTCTCTCTCTCTCTCTCTCTCTCTCTCTCTCTCTCTCTCTCTGTGTGTGTGTGTGTGTGTGTACACACACACGTGTGTGTGTGTGTGTGTGTGTGTGTATGAAGAGGAGGTATTTGTCTTACTCTGTAGCTCAGGATGGACTTGAACTTACAGTAGTTCTCCTGCCTTAGCCTCCCAAGGTGCTGTGCATGCCAGGCAACTGCTCTACTTCTGAGCTACAACCCTATCTAATTTTTTATGAGACAGGGTTTTGCTGTGTAGCCCAGGCTGGCCTGGAATGCTTGCTGCCTTAGACTCCTACAACAAAATTGCTTTTTTTTTTTTTTTTTTGGTTTTTCAAGACAGGGTTTCTCTGTGGCTTTGGAGGCTGTCCTGGAACTAGCTCTTGTAGACCAGGCTGGTCTTGAACTCACAGAGATCCGCCTGCCTCTGCCTCCCCAGTGCTGGGATTAAAGGCGTGTGCCACCACCGCCTGGCTCCAAAATTGCTTTTCTGAAGCTAGCTGTCACCTGAGCAAACTTGCTCAGTAGAGTCATGCCCCATGTGATAATCCCAAAGGTGTTTGTTTGTTTGTCTTTAAATATAGACTTAGTCCTGGAAATTGTCCTTTTTTGGAAAAGAAAGAACTACATGAAGCTCACCCTTGGCTTGAATTTTTGGTTCAGTGTCGGCAAGTTTCCAGTAACTTAACAGGTATTATGTTCAGTATTAAATATGTAAACTTTCTCTTATAAACTGTGAGTCTATTGAATGGTCATTAACTTGGAAACTCTTGAAGTTAATCCTTTGACTGCACTCAAATATCTGACTGTAATCCAGGCTCACACTTTAGTAATGAAATAGAAAACTAAAAAATGTCAGAATTGGAGCTGACAGCTTATGAAGTTAGATTTCCCTCACTCTGCCTTGTGCTCTGCTTCTGCCACTGTCACCCCACCCACCTGTCACAGGCACAGTTCTTGCTTTGGTACATTGACACCCCTTTCTCCCGAAGAATTGGTCTGCCTTCCAGAAACCTTCTAGGAATGGTCCCCCTCCTCCCCTCCTCCCTTCCTCTGTCCCCCTCTCTCCCTCCTTCCTTCCTGTCTATATTCTCTTTCCTTCACCCTTTCTCTCTCCCTCCCTCCTTCCCTGTCTTCCTCCCTCCCTTCTATTCTTTTGCCATCTAGGGCCTCTCCTATGCTAAGTACATATGCCCCAGGCACATACATGGAGGTCAGAAGACAAATTTGTGGAGTCAGTTCTCTCCTTCCACCTTTAGGTGGGTTCTAGGAACTTATAAATCTTTCAGTCTGGAGCTCCAAATGGAAGGGGGAAAAAAAACTAAAACCAAACCAAGACAAAACAAAAGGAAAACTAAAACCTCATGTATGTGTGGGATTGTTGTGTCCATGGAGGGGAGCTGCTGAAGAAACTAACCAGCTAGTAGTGTTCTTCCCAAATTCTGGGGAAAGGTACAGGAAAGGTACAGGGCAAGCAACTATACATCAAGCAATGTCAAAAACCAGTCCTTTATATAAAGTGCATATATAAAGTGCCCAGTTTTGTTGGGTTGCAGGTGGTGGTGCATACCTTTTAATTCTTGTAATGGGAGGCAGAGGCCAGCAGATCTCTGTGAGTTCAAGGCCAACTTGGTCTACATAGTGAGTTCCAGGCCCTAGGGCTGTATAGTGAGACCCTGTCTCAAACAAACAAACAAAGGAAGCCACAGACAACTCTCCCCAAGGTAACACCTGCATAGACCCAGTCTGGGCTTATGGGAAGATGACTGCCCACAAGTGGCCATTGGTAGCATTGCCATGTTTCCTTCCAGTTTCTTTTTGCTTTCTGTTGTCCAGCAGGTATCCATACGTTGTGCAGAAGTGCAGGAAACATCTGTGGGTTTTTTTTGTTTGTTTGTTTGTTTGTTTTTTTTTGGTTTTTCGAGACAGGGTTTCTCTGTGTAGCTTTGGAGCCTATCCTGACACTCGATCTGGAGACCAAGCTGGCCTTGAACTCACAGAAATCCACCTGCCTCTGCCTCCCGAGTGCTGGGATTAAAGGCATGAGCCATCAACGCCCGGCAACATCTGTGTTTTGTAACTGCCTTTGTGTGTAATGAGACTCCCCTGCACCCTTAGAGACACTGATCATTAACCTTAGTAAATAGGCCCTCAATTAAATTATTATTTTCTCGTTTTTTTGACAGCAAGCTCATCTTTACATTTTTTCCAATTATAAATAATTATCTTGACTATATCTTAACTTAAAATTGTTGCTTTTGTTTCAGACAAACTCTTTAGTACATACAGGTTTCTACATGTAAAATTGCTAAGTCGAAGGCTGTTCACTGGAAGGGTTTTACCATCAGGTCACATTGCTGTTCATTGAGGCTGTACCTTTGCCTAGGTACACAGTCTATTCATGATGACCAATAAACAGTAACACTGATTTTTTTTTTAAATTGCTGCTGATACAGTTGATACTTGAAGCATCTAATTAAGTCCCCTGCTAGGGAGCTGTGTGTGGGGGCTTTAGCATTTCTAGTTCATTGTCAGCTGATTCTTTCTTTGTCCATAGGGTATTATTCCTATAGAATATCACTTGTTGGATTCTCCTCTTGACTCTTTTTTACCTTTACATTTTATTTCTTTGAAATCTTTATTTTTATGAAGATGAACCTTTTGAGTTTGCCCATCCCCCCACCCCATGTTTTTCAGTGTTTCTAAACTTAGAAAGTTGTTCTTACTGTGGACAGGGTTAAAAATATCTTTCTCAGAATTATATCTCTCTTAATTTAATGATTATCCCTTTTATTTTCAGATCCCAAACTGATCTTCCAGGCTAGCCTTGCAAATGCTCAGATTTTGATTCCCACCAATCAGGCCAGTGTAAGCAGTATGCTGTTGGAAGGACACACCCTCCTGGCCCTTGCTACTACCATGTATGCTCCTGGGGGTGTCAGCCAGGTATGGGTGACCCTCGGAATTATTGTGATGAAATAGGGTTGATTTGAAACTTGGCACAGATAACCAGGACTGCTTAAACCTTAGCTGGTGCTAAAGCATGATCTAAAGCATGACTGCTTTTAAGTATCCTGTTGGATGAGTGAGCGTGAAACAGGTGAATTTACAGTTCCATGTCCTGAGCTGAAATGGAGTTCATGCATGGACAGAGATTCTTTGTCCCTTTGGTGTGTTTTCCGTAGCTCTAGGATAGAGTCAGGATTGGGTTACCTCTGCAAGTAGATGTATTTTAGATGTGTAGTTTGTAACATGTCTTTGCTGATTACCCTTCTAGAAAGTTTATCTTAAAGCATACTTTTTAGCTTTCCCTGTAAGTTCTTTGAGGGACCCCATGTGGATGTGCCCCTGTTTTCTGAACATAGAGTGTGGCTGGCTAGAAGGAGAATACTGCTGGATGTCTTGTCCTCGTAGTTTCTCCCTGGTGGTGATTACCCTTAGGTTGCTGCGCTATACTCACAGGGCTGAGTGACTCGAGCCTGCTTTTAGCTACCAGTCAGAAACTATAGTCACGAAAGGGCTAGGTAGTCATCTGCTTTGATGGTATCCGTTATTTTGTTTTTCATTTGGTTTTTTTGAGACAGGGTCTCACTAAGTAGCTCTGGCTGTCCTTGCATTCACTGTGTAGACCAGGCCTCTGCCTCCTAAGTGCTGGGTTTAAAGGCATGTGCCATCATTGCACAACTATTTTGTTTTTGTTTTTGTTTTTGTTTTTTTGAGGCAGCTTTACTCTCTAGTCCAAGTTGGCCTGTAATTCCCTGTATAAACCATGCTAGTCTTGAATTCTTAGTGATTTTCCTGCCTCAGCCTCCCAAATGCTGGACTATATACCGGTACCATCATGCGCCACAGTAATAGTTGTTGGATCTTTTAAGAATTAATGGATAAGCCGGGCATTGGTGGCAATCCCAGCACTCGGGAGGCAGAGGCAGGCGGATCTCTGTGAGTTTGAGACCAGCCTGGTCTCCAGAGCGAGTGCCAGGACAGCCTCCAAAGCTATACAGAGAAACCCTAATATAAATATAGTAGAGATGGCTTTTTTTCAAACAACATACGGTTTGAGAACAAGGATCTAGCTCTCTTCCTAATCTTGCAGGAAATGGAGGCTTGATGCTAAACATCTATTCCAGTGTCATACAGCCATTAGGTCCTAGGATCGGATGACTGTTTTGCTGGTGCTGTTTCACTAGGACCCTTCTTCTATAGTGACTAGTTTTTAAATCTCAAAATATGTACTATCTAAACACCACTCCCCTTCTGTAATGTGTCTTCTTGCATAGGTCATTCAGAATGAAGAAAGTGAGAACTGTTTGAAGAAAGTGGACCCCCAGCTATTGAAGATGGCCTTAACACCTTACCCAAAGCTCAAAGCTGCCCTCTTCCCACAGTGCACTGCTCCTAGTATTCTGCCCTCTGATATTACACTCTACCACCTCATTCAGGTACTGTATTTAGGGAGCTGGCTCTTAGATGTATCTGCCAGGTCTCTGCCAGGAAAACAGAAAGCCCTACCTCCTTTCAACACTCAGGATAAGAATTATGGCAAAGAAGGATGGAGCTATAAGCCTACATCCAGAAGAATCACTTGGGAACCTGCAATTTTGCTTCTATTTCACAGGGATTTGCAGACCCTCTCAGGCCTATTCAGGAGCTGTGTTAGAAGCATCTTTTGCCCATGTCTCCGTTCAATATGCTTTCTTCATTACATATATGTTCATACATTACATGTTCATAGTATCTTCAACCCAGTGTAAGTTGTGTTGTTCTTTAGAGAGATGAAATCTGCCCTGCTCTAATGTGAAGAATTTTGGGGGTGAACTAATTGGTTCACAGATGTGCCAGGACTGTTTGTTTCTGGAATATATGAGATTAGCAGCCTGTGCTAGGGTAGAATGCAAGTCCATCATGCCTCGAGGTCAGTTTTCTGTAAGGACTTTTCCAAAGAATGGGGCTAGGGAGATGGCTTGGTGGTTAAAAGCACCAGATGCTCTTCCATAGGACCTGGGTTTGATTCCCAGCACCCACATGGCCAGTCACAGCCATCTGTTACTCTTAATCCTGGGAATCCGATGTGCCCTTCTGGCCTCCATAGACTAGACACACAGTGCTGTAAACACATTCGGGCAAAAGACTCACGCCCAGGAATCCTTAGAAGAAGAATGTCCTGGCAAAGACAGCCTTGTGCTGCCTTCACACCCTGTGCTGCAGGAGTCTCTGCCATGCAGAGCAGCACTGTGTGTCGCATTGGTGTAAACCAGATGCTTCAGTGACACGGTGCTCTGTCCAGATTTGTCTCAATGTAGTGATCCTCCTGTCTCAGTGTCTCAAGTGCTGGGATCAAAGGCGTACAGAGTTCCTTGCTTCTGAAATATTTGAATCAACTTCAAACACAAACCATTTCAAGTTATTCTTCATTCTCTTTTCTTCTTGACTTACATCATTTTGTAAGTTTTGATTTTTGAGACGGTGCCTCATGTGGCCCTCAAACTCACTATGTAATCGAGGTTGGCATTCAGTTCCTGATCCCCCCTCTTCTGCTGCCCAAGTGCTGGTGTTACAGGTGTGCACCACACCTGGCTGTTTATTTATTTTAAAGCAATGTCTAACTGTGTTGCCCAGGCTCATCTCCAACTCCTGTGCTCAAGTGATCCTCTTGCCCCAGCCTCCTGAACGTGGGCACTGTGGGCACACACCACCATGCCTGGCGCCCTGGCAGCTCTTTGTCTGTGTGCACTTTTATGTTCTTGTGGGTCTTCATGTGTGTGCAAGTACACATGTGTGTCCATGTATGCAAAGATCAAAGACCAGCCTTGAATGACGGTCCTTAGGAGCTGTTTCATGTTTGGGGGAGGGTATGGTATGGGGAGGGGCTGTGTTCAAAGAATTTATGTTCAGAGAGAGAGTATTTAGCTGTGTTTCATTCTGAGGATCAAGGTTAGGGTCCCATGTGTGTAGGGGACAGTGTAAGCCATGCCTGCTAGAAGCTGGCTATAGTGTGCCTGACCACGCCTGTCAGGGCGTAGTCAAGGTGAGGTCAGGATGACTCGTGATAGAGTTTTAAGGGGCTGCAAGGCACATGAGAGCCCTTCTCTCTGGCCTGCCTGCCTTGCTGCCCCTGGCACGCTCTGGCTTGCCTTTGGCTGGTGTTTTTCTAATAAAAGGATATCCTTATCATAAGCTCCTTTTGTTCCTTAATACATGTGTGCTAGCAAACATTCTACCAGAGTCCTACAAAATGACTTCCTCTGTAGGTCCTTCTATCATTTTGTTTATTTGTTTTAGGGTCAATAAACTTTTGAGTCTGATTGACTTTTACTCCTTTTCAGTCTTTGCCACCCTTTGATCCTAGCAGATTGTTTGGCTGGCAGTCTGCCAACACACTAGCAATAGGAGGTAAGTCATGGGATTTCTTGCTTTGGAAGCATTCAGGTCATATTAAGAGTAGAATTTTTTTTTTTTTTTGATTTTTCGAGACAGGGTTTCTCTGTGTAGCTTTGGAGCCTATCCTGGCATAAGAGTAGAAATTTTTATACATAAAGTTAATCCCTTTTTTCCAGTGCTTTCTATTGTAAAAGTAAAAGTACTTCTCAATGGAAGACACATTCCTTGAAACTAATTGAGAACATGTAAATTGAAAGTCTGTATGTTGAGTTTCTAGGACAGCATGTTACGGAGCAGATATGTGCCTCTCTGCAGCTCTTCCTTTTCAGAATCCCCTGTTTTGAGTGTTGGTGTTGACAGACAATAAATTATGGTTTCACCTTGTAATGACTGTCTGACCTTAAGCATAGTGCTCTTTAAAATAAGGCTAATAATAGTATCCCTCTCATGTGTTGTAAAGATGACAGGGTGTTTTGAGTTTGGTTGGTTGACATGTTTTTGAGACAGGGTCTCAGATAGCCCAGGCTGGTCTTGAACTTGCTGTGTAGTCAGATTGACCTTGGATATCTGATCCTCCTGCCTCTACCTCCCTGGTTCTGGGGTACTTGAGTTTATACCACATCTGACTTAGATGGTTCTGGGGATCAAGTACAGGGCTTTATGCAAGCAGTGTACCAACTGAGCTCCAGTCTCATCCCTAAGAACAAGGCGTTTTACCACTCTCATTTATTACATACCAGGCCCACACACACTGCTGTCGTCTGCAGGGTATAAGAATTCTTTTGAGTGTTGTGCCATTTTAAACACTCCATTTCTGTTTCTCTTGAGGTTAGGGTTAGTGTTTAATATCATAGACAATGCCTCTGTCTCCATGCTTGTAATGTTAAATTCATACTATCTGTGCTCAGGAAGTATCTCAAAAACGTTTGACCTCAAAAATATAGTAGATATGTGTCAAACATATTGACTACCTAAAAATGAATTTTCTGATCAAGCACTCTAGCACTGAGCTATAACCCCCAGGAATAAAAAATGAATTTTCAAGCCAGGCAGTGTACACCTTTAATCCTAGCTCTTCGGAGGCAGAGGCCAGGCAGATCTCTGTGAGTTCTAGACCCGCCTAGTCTACAGAGTGAGTTCCAGACAGCCAAGATTACACAGTGAAACCCGGTCTCAAAAAAAAAAAAAAAAAAAAAAAAGAATTTTCTATGATGGGTGGGCAGTGGTGGCATTTGCCTTTAATCCCAGCACTCGGGGAGGCAGGAGGCTCTCTGAGTTTGAGGCCAGCTTGGTCTATAGGGTGAGTTCCAAGACAGCCAGGGCTACAAAGAAACCCTGCCTCGAAAACCAAAATGGAAAAAAAATATTTTTTCTGATGCATCTGTTTTATGAATTAAACATGTTCTGTATGCCTTGTACAGTGTGCAGAATAATCGCAGCAGCCCTGCACACACAGTGCTGGTCATGTGGCCAGGGTTGATGTGCTTTGCTTTCTCCCCAGATACAACCAACCGTCTCCCACATTTTTCCAGCCCTGACCTGGTGAGTAAATACGCTGTAGTGGAACGTCTGAATTATGCGTATTATTTACATCACGGACGCCCATCATTTGCCTTTGGTACTTTTCTGGTCCAGGAGTTAATCAAGAGTAAGACTCCCAAACAACTGTAAGTGTCGAGAGCCCAATTTCCGCTCTTAAAAAGCATATGTGTATTTTACTGGTACATCTTAAAAAGCAGTGAGACTGATCATTAACCATGTTGTCATTGTTTTAAATGTTTGAGAATTTCGTGTGATGCATTTTGATCATATTCGTCCCCTCACCTCAGTTCCTCCCAGGTGTCCCCACCTCCCTACTTTCCCAGCTTCATGTTCTGTGTGTCCGTGTCCCCTTGACCCCACTTTGTGTGGGCTGACTACAGCTGAGCCTGAGGCCTGCCCTGGAGTGTGGCCAGTATACCAGGTGTCACTCCACTAAAGAACAGGACTCTCCCCCTCCCAGCAGCAGTCAAATGGCAGCTGCTCCTCAGCTAGGCGTGGGGCTTCGTGCCTTCCCAGCTCCGGGCTGGGATTGCGTCTGACTGAGCTTCTGTGGTCTTGTGCACGCTGTCACACTCTTCAAGTTCACATGTACCCGCCCCGCTGTGTCTGGTGAGCACTGTTTTCTTGACATCATCCACTGCCTCTGGCTCCCCAGTCTTCTGGTCCCATTTCCACATAGACCCCTGAACCTTGAGGAAGGTGATGTGGCCTAGATGTCCCAGTCAGGGGCTGGGCACTCTGGGGTAGTCTCTGTGATAACTGACATCAACTGCAACAAGAAGCTTCGCTGATAAGGATTGAGCAATATACTGATCTGAAATTCAGGATTAGACCCTGTCCAGACGCCAAGCAGCCCCAGATCACTGAGGTGGGTGGGAACTATAGTGATTGTATTCGGTAGTGATTTTGTTTTCATTGTGCCCCCCTTTTTTTGTATTTCAAGTTTTTGGCTTTATTGTGTACAATATTTGCCAGGGGAAAAAGTAAAACAATAACTCTCAAAAGAGACACGTTTTAAAGTCATGCGACAGTGGCTCAGGCACTAGCAGCTGCAGCAGAGGAATTCTATACAAGGGTGCATTTTATATTCATAAGCTGTCTTTTATATTCCACTTCATACAGAATTAGGAGAACTATTTGATGTAGCTGACAGGGAAATATGGTTTGTTTTGTTTTATAACACAGTGATGCATTTTAAACTTTGTTTTAGCTGGGTGGTGGTGGCACACGCCTTTAATCCCAGTACTCAGGAGGCAGAGGCAGGCAGATCTCAGTGAGTTTGAGGCCAGCTTGGTCTACAAAGTGAGTTCCAGGACATCCAGGGCTATACAGAGAAACCCTATCTTGAAAAACCAAAACAAGCAACAACAACTAAAAGCTTTGTTTTAGTAGTAAGTTTTCATGGTAAAGTAGTTTAGTAGTTCAGAAAGGTGGGAGTCAAAGACAGGAGTCTGGGCTCCAATTCTTCATATTACAGGGTTGGCAATGTCTTGTATATCTTGCTAGAAAACTTTTTATGTATATAAATGTACAGCTGAGTCCTCTAAAATGCACCTTCAGATGTTAACCTTGGAGCTTGAGAGATGGCTTAGTGGCTTAATAGCACTGAATGCTCTTCCAGAGGACCTGGGTTCAATTCCAAGCACCTACATGGCAGCTCACAACAGATTGTAACTCCAGTTCCAGGGGACCTGACGCCCGTTTCCCGCCTCCATGGCATTGAACACACATGTTGCACAGACGTAGAGTAAGACAAATGCTCATACATATAAAATAAAAATAAATCTTAAAAGATAAACATTGGTTTTCTAGGTTGCTCGTGTTCATAGCCAGACTTGACTCTGATCACGAGTGCAATGCTTTTGAAAGGTCTTCATGTGCCCTGGGTAAAGGTAGAAGCTACAGTGCTGTGAAGTGTGAACAGGTGCTTTAGTTTAAATCTAGGGCCAGCAATACAGCTCAGCAGGTGAAGGAGCTTGCCACCAAGCCTAACAGCCTGCGTTTGATTCCTAGGATATACATGGTGGAAGAAGAGGGCTGACTACTACAAATGGTCCTCTGACCTCCACACTCACACTGGGGTCCATTTGTGTTCTGCCTTTCCACCCTCCACCTAAGTGACCGAATAAGCTGACCTGGTGCCTCTGGTACCACAGCCATTGCTGTACCTGGCATCTCTTTGTTTGCCTGTTTGCAATGCCAGGCTCTGATAACATAAGCACAGCTGTCTCCCAGCGCCCGTGACTTATCTAGGCAGGCCTGTGATACGGGGTTGTGGAGGACACTGCAGCAAGCACCGTGCGGACTGTCACTGCTGAAACAAGATTGATTTGTCCCCCCAGACATAATTCAGCCACAACAGCTATCCACCAAGCAGATGGCCGCTGAGTGAGGCCTGGATTCTAGTCTCACCTCAGCCATTCTATGGAAACAGCTTTGGAAACCAGCTCCCTTCATAGAAGAGTCAGGTGTTGATATTGGCCACGTCTCACACAAATCAGTAATGCTGCTACAGTCGTCAAGTCACAGACGGTAGCATTATGAGCGGCGCTGGCTCAGCAGGGCTGGCACAGTAGGACCAGGGTATTTTGTTTGCCCTTAGAGCAGCGATTCTCAGCCTGTGTGTCGTGACCCTTTTGGCAAACCTGGGTCTCCAAAAATATTTACATTACAGTTCATAACAGTAGCAAAATTGTAGTTATGAAGTAGCAACTAAAATAATTTGATGGTTGGGGGTCATAGCATGAAGAACTGTATTAAAGGGTCAGAGTATTAGGAAGGTTGAGAACCACTGCCCTAGAGCAAGATGCCGTGAACTGGCTGAATCCAGTTTGATCAGTGCCCTAAATGTCTTGGAGGGTTCTGTCATTTAAACTCAGTCTGGCAGGGCAGGTGTGATCATATGGCAGGTGTGCTGGGATACTGATGTCTTCCCATGATCCTTTTTTTCAGTGACATCTTTGCAAAGATAGGTGTAGTTTTTCTGCTTTTGAGATCTTTTTCTTCTGCGTTAGTCATGGAAGCACCACAATTGTGCCTTGTGCCTTGTTATCTGAAGGAGTCTTTGTCCTAATTTCTGTCTTTGGAACTTGATTTATCTGGGATGTGGACCTCGAAGGCCACAGTGGCAAAAAGAACTTTGAACTCTAAATTGGCCCAGCAAACTGCTGTAGCACACCTCATGCTGGTCCCAGTAGACCATTTCTGTGAAATAGTTGTCACTGTGGCCTGCCTTGAGTGTATGCCAATTCAGACAAGAAGTGCGGCTGTTCTAATCTTTTCCTGCAGCCGTTTCTTTACAAGCTGCACAATGATGCTTTTTATGGATTCTTACCAGTTGCGAACCACAAAGCTCATTATTGTTCTTACCAATAACCCACTTACAGTAGAGAAGAAGTAATACCTCCTGCAGACCCCTTTCCAAGGAATTAGGAAAGAAAACTACTTTCAACAGGTGCACTAAAGCAGAGAGTGGAGAGAAAACTGCCATGTTGTGGATCATCTCATAAAACTCTGCTGAACTCAGAAATATAAGCAGAGATGAGAAGGGACAGCTGGGTAGTTATTAGTGTCGCCTAAATCTGGACTGGACTGGTCCCACTGACACTTGGCTCTCCAAATCTCCCTGGAGAAAGAAAATCACTAATTTTCCTAAGAAAAAAGGAAGTTCCACAACTTTGGCATTGCCATTGTCTGTGTGTAGTGAGTGCATTACATGCTTATTAAAATTTCCCCAATTATGCCAGGCAGTGTTAAAAAGATTAAAAAGGCACACACTTTTTAATCCCAGCACTCAGGAGGCAGAGGTAAGCAAGTCTATGAGTTCTAGGACAGCCTGGTCTACAGAGCAAGTTACAGGACAGCCAGGGCTACACAGAGAAACCCTGTTTTTTTGTTTTGTTTTGTTTGTTTGTTTGTTTGTTTGTTTGTTTATCCTAATTTAAATCTAAGGAAATAGGGTTATAGTGCCCAAAATAAAAAAGGTTCCCTGGAGCCCAAATGAACAAACAGGAAAGGGAGGGAGCAAGAGAGCAAATACAGAGCTCTCTGCCTATCACTAAGGCAATTTCGTTTCCTTGTCCTTGTGAGAAGCAGGTGTTTTGTTTTTGTTTTGTTTCATTTTTGGTTTTTCAAGATAAGGTTTCTCTGTGTAGCGTTGGCTGTCCTGGAATTTACTCTGTAGACCAGGCTGGCCTCAAACTCACAGAGATTCACCTGCCTCTGCCTTCCAAGTGCTGGGATTAAAGGCATGCACCACCACCACCTGGTTTTTTAAAATCGTGTCTCCGTCTGTGTGTGTGTGTGTGTGTGTGTGTGTGTGTGTGTGTGTGTATACCAAGATACCCTTGGAAATCAGAGGATAACTTTTTGTTTTAAGATTCTATTTTATTTTCATTGTGTGTCTAGTGGGAGGAGGGGTTGAACATGTGCGTGAGGGAATCTAAAAGAGGGTGTCAGGACACCTGGAGTTGGCGTTACAGTCTACAAGCTCCCTGGCATGGGTGCTAGGAACCTAACTTGGGTCTTCAACAAGAGTGTAAGCACTCTTAACTGTTGAGCCATCTCCCTAGCCTAGCAGACAAGGCCTGTGAGTTGGTTCTCTGCACTATGTGACTCTGGGGTCAAACCCAAGTTGTTGGGCTGGGTACAAAATAACTTTGCCCACTGAGCCATCTTCCTGGCCCCCTCATCTGTGAGTGCTGAGGTATGAGCTGAGGTCCTCTCACTTGTGCAGCAGGATCTTTAACCACTGAGCTAGGTCTCCAATCAGTGTGGAAAATAATGCTTCTGTCTGATATAGTGCTGATTTTTTTTTTATATATTTCAGGATCCAACAAGTAGGCAATGAGGCCTATACCTTAGGGCTCGCTTCCTCCCACAGCCCTTCAGTAGGGGCTGCCTGTGTTTGCTTCTTAGAATTGCTTGGTCTTGGCAGCCTCAAGCTCAGAGTTGACATGAAAATGGCAAATGTGATTCTGGGCTACAAGTGTAGAAATGAAGACAGTCAACCCAGCTTTACCAGAGAGTCTCTAGGTACAGCACCTTTGCTCTGCTTTGCCCAGAGGAAGCATGGGGTAATCAAAAGCATTAGGCAGAAATGGCACTTTTCCCTTTTCTTGCACAGTTCATATTATACCTCACTTCCTTTCTCTTTTTTTCCAAACAGGGTTTCTCTGTGTGGCCCTGGCTGTTCTGGAACTCTCTTTGGAGACCAGGCTGACCTCGAACTCACAGAGATCCTCCTGCCTCTGCCTCCCGAGTACTGGGATTAAGGGTGTGTGCCACCACCACCGGGCCTGTATCTCACTTTCTTGGAGGTCATTTTAATTGGCTTTGAATGATCCTGAGCCTCATTACCTGAACAGAAGTGCCCAGGTCCTGACTTTTTCTATTGAACACACACACACACACACACACACACACACACACACACACACACACACACGGAATACACACACACATATGCTCTTGATAGCTTTGATCTTATTATTGGGCTTTTTCTTGGTTTTGGTTCTTTGGAGATGGGGTCCTACTGTGTTTTGTCTTGCTCACGTAACCCCAAGCTCCTGTACCCGAGCAGTCCTCTTCCTCGGGGTCCTGAATAGCTGGGGCTATGGGGCTGTGTCACTGTGCCCACACTTAGGTCTTTCTTGCTGGTATTTCTTATAGCTGAAAAATTGTCTAAGCTTGCTGATGGTGACAAGGCCACCACAGAAGAGTTGCTCGTTCTTTTGGAAGAAAGTGTGTGGAGTAGCATCGCGCAGCAAGGTTTGAACAGGTTTGTGAGCAGCAGCCCCGGCCTCTTCTAGTAAACCTGACTGTGCCAGCCTGTGTTTGCTTGATCTTCCAGTATCTTGCTCTTTCATCAGAATCCTGGTCTTCCTCAACCAGCATAGAGCAGGCAAAATGTTGCCTCTTACCTCTGGGATTCCCACTGTACAGCTGAAAAGGAAGTCTGTTCCTCCTTGTAGGCAAGAGAGGTGGTGGGCTCTTAGAATTGTTTTGTCTGCATGTGTGTCTGTGTTCCACATGAACTCAGTGTCCTTGGAGGCCAAAGAAGGGCATCAGATCCCTTGGAACTAAAGTTACCAAAGGTTGTGAGCCACCATGTGTGTGCTAGAGCTGAACACGGGTCCTTTGCAAGAATAGCAGGTGTTTTTAAACTGGTGAGCCATCTCTCCAGCCCAGGAGAGGTGGTTTGTTTTGTTTTTGTTGTTGTTGTTTTGTTTATTTGTTTTTTGTTTTGTTTTTTTGAGATAGGGTTTCTCTGTGTAGCTTTGGAGCCTGTCCTGGCACTCATTCTTGTAAACCAGGCTGGTCTCGAACTCAGAGAGTTCCACTTGTCTCTGCCTCCAAGTGCTGGGATTAAAGGCATGAGCCACCACCGCCAAGCTTGGTTTGTTTTTCAAGACAGGATTTCACTGTGTTGTCTTGGCTGTCCTGAAAATTGCTCTGTAGGCCAGGCTGGCCTAGAACTCTAAGACTTGCCTACCTCTGCCTGGATTAAAGGTGTGCACCACCATACCTGGCTAGCTTTCTTTTTCTTTTTTTTTTTTAAGAAGTCTAATAAATATTTGATATATTTTGAGAAGCATATATTTTTCTTATTTTTACATATTTTATGTATTTTTAAATTATTTTTATTTTTACCACAATGAGATCAAACCACAGCCTCATGCATATTAAGCATTTGTTCTTTCCTGGGTGATACTGCCTACTCTGGTAGAAAGGGTTTTTGTCTGTTTTGTTGTTTTTCTTTTTTAAAGATACTATGCTCTGGTTAATTTGATTTTTACCAATTTCCAAGTTTTAAACTAGATCTATATTACAGGGGTGTGTGTGTGTGTGTGTGTGTGTGTGTGTGTGTGTGTGTGTATGTGTGTGTTTATGTGTGCAGGTGCCCATGGCAGCCAATGGTATTGACTCCTTGGAATTAGAACTACAGGCCGTTGTGAGCCACCTGACATGGGTGCTGGAACCAAACCCGGGTTCCATGCAGGAGAAGTAAGTTCTCTCAACCACTTATCCATCTTATTTGCTTACTTATTTCGATTTTTCTGATACAGGCTCTCACCATGGATCTGTAGCTCATCTGGAACTCACTCTATAGACCAAGCTGGCCTTTAAACTCGTATACATCCCCTGCCTCTGCCTCCTGAGTGCAAAAATGCACTACCATGTCTGGCCTTTGAGCTGTATTTCAGTATTTTTTTCCTTCTGCTATCCATCCCCAGTTCTGATTATAGGTTGTCCAGTGAATCCAGCAGCCAGTGGACATTAGTGTTACAGTTCTGCACAGTCCACAATTTGAAACTGAGCGTGTCCTACCTTAGAGAATGTGCCAAAGCAAACGATTGGTTGCAGTTCCTGGTTCACAGCCAACTCCATAGCTACCACCCAGAAGAGGTAAACACACTTCCAAAACAGTGTTCTTTGTGTTTTTGTCTGCTGTGAGACCCATGTTTGTTGCGTTCATTAGACTGGCGTCAGGCAAAAGGGTAATCGTAGGTACAGAGTTTGGACAAGTTTCCAGGGTTCCAGGTTGAACATGGTAGTTCACTCAGGATCCCTCAAAAGCAACCAATTGTGGTGGCTCAGGTCTGTCATCTCATTACTAGGGAGACTGAGAAGGCAGGATTGCAAGTTCTAGGCCACCTTGGGCCAAATAGCAGGACATTACTGCAGATAAGTGAGATGACTTTGGAAACATCACGGTCACCTCTGACACAGCTCAGCATCATAAGATGTACTTTGAGCCTCTCTGAATGTACTTCCTCTAGGTGAAAGGAACATCAAGTATATTTTAACCATCTGCTCTCCAGGTGAAATCTCTTCTTCAGTACTTCAGCCCAGTCCTCCAGAGCCACCTGAAGCTGGCTTTTGAGAAACTGTCATCAGGGTCCATCTCTAGAGAAGATGGTGATCAAGACCACAAGTACCTCCAGGAACTCCAGAAAAACAAAGAGGAGATGAGGGATTTCTTTGAAATTCTCCACCAGTGCTCAGAAGAGTCAGCCTCTTGGTGCTGGCTCCTCACTGAGGCAGTGAAACATCGGGCTCCGATCCTCAGTGTCCTGGCCTCTTGTCTCCAGGTGAGGGGCACGAGAAGCCTAAATTGAGGAGCCAGAAAGCAATAAGGTAGAGAAGAACTGGGCATAGTGGTGGTGCCTGGAATCCCACTTACTTGGGTGGTTTAGTTAGGAGGACGGAAAATTTGAGGCTAACCTGGGCCATAAGGTAAAAGCCTGTCTAAAAAAAAACAAAACAAAGGTTAGAGAGATGGCTCAGTGGTTGTGAGCATGTATTGTGCTCACAGAGGACCTGGGTCTGGTTCCCAGCACCCATACGTGTGGTACACAGCTACTTGTACCTCAAACTCCAGTGGCCCCAACGCTCCTAGGCTTCCTGGGCGCAACACTAGTGTGCACAGACCCCCCAGAGACACTCAACACACACATAATAAAAAGCAAAATAAGCCTTTTTGAAAAGTAAAGTAACAACCACACAAAAGAACAAAACAAGGGCCAGTGAGGTGGCTCAGCAGGTAAAGGCACTTGCCACCAAACTTGACAGCCTGAGTTTGATTCCTGGAACTCACAAGGTGGAAGGAGGAAGACAACTGATTCCTACAGGTTGTCCTCTGACCTCCATACATGTTCCATGGCATCCATGCACATGCATGCATACAAACATGCACGCATACAATACATTTAAAAAAGCAAACTAGGACTGGAGAGTTGGCTCAGTGATTAAGAGTGCTTGTTGCCTACACTGCCTGTCACTCCAGCCCTAGGGCATCCATTGTCCTTCTTAGCTTCTGTGAGCCTCAGCACACACATGCTTATACACCCAGAATCCAAATGGAGAGAGGAGAAAGAAGAAGGAAGAAGGGAAGCAAGCAGCAGGCAGGAAGGGCTGTAATGGGCGTTGGGGACCATAGTGAGGCTCCTGCACTTGCTGCCAGGGTCACTCACAGTGCCCATGCTTCCACAGCTCAGGCTGTCCCAGCCACTAAGCTTCTTCCTTGTCTCTTGACACTGGTGAAGCCAGCTGTCAGAGCTTGGACCCTGGCTGGCCATCACGAGAAAGCTCTGCTGGGTGGGCATCCTCCTCCCTCGATGGAGAAGGGAGACATTTAGTCTTTAATTTCAGCTAATTAATGGAGATCCGTCCCTCTCTGTGGCCTTTCCCTGCCACATCCTTCAGGACAGTTCATGGTAGTTCCTTGCTTAGTCATCAGTTTGTGTCGTGTCTGGAGGCTTTATGAGCGACCTGAACAGAGAAACAGTGACCTCTTCTGAGGGAAGGCCCATCTGTGCCCTTGGTGAATCCGTATAACCCAGGCCCAGTTCCTTCATTTTGAACATTCTTATCCAACGGCAGGGGGCTAGTGCTGTGCCCTGTCTCTGTGTTTGGATTGTCACCTCTGTGGAGGACAGGGTTGCAGCTGAAGCAATGGGACACATCCAGGCCTCAGTAGAGGATCATTCCTGGAGCCTTGAGGACCTGTCCATGATCTGGAGAACTGTATTGACAAGGCAGAAGAGCCATACTCTCATCCGAGGCTTCCGGCTTTTCATTAAGGTATTTTTATATGTACACACACTCACATACACACTCATTCACTCTTCAGGTCTTCCCAGAACTTCAGTGCTCAAGGGAGAGCACTCCTTGGCTTTTTCTTAGTAAGCTGACAAGAGATAACAATAGAGCTACAATGTGTATTTAGTGTTAGGCGTCAGACCCCAGGACCTTTGAGATACACATTTATTTAAAAGAGTGCTTATATGCATCAGTTTAGTAAGTTCTCACAATATAAAAATAATGTTTGGTATGAAGTGGTATCACCTTTGTTTTACAGTCTAGTAACTAAAGCTCACATAGCTGAAACCACACAGGCTCAAGTGCTTTAATAAGTGGGCACACTCACAGTTTAGATTCATCCTTTCTAATCCAAAATTTCTCTTTTCTGGCCTAACAACCCCTCCAAAATAGTCTGGTTGGTACCACAGAACAGCATTTTTGCCTCCACAAATGCTTGTCGGGGCATAGTGTCACCTAGTGGACGGTCTGTAGACTAACTAGCAATGGATTCGTGGATTTTTTTTTTTCCCCCAAAAGGAACTAACACATGAGACTTAATTTGATCTGGAAGCTGTTATTAATAGAATTTGATGTTCTGATTTTCTAATTTCAACTCTTCTTCGAAGGATTCCCCACTTCTGTTGATTATGGAGATGTATGAACTATGTATGTTCTTCAAGAATTACGAGAAAGCCAAAGTTAAGCTTGTGGAGTTCCAGAAAAGCCTTGAGACGGTAGGCTGGAATTGCGTGCCCTCCTCTCCCATCTGAAGTTGGTTGGCGGGGCTCTTGTGCTGGTGGCTGGCATGGGGGGGCAGCAGGCAAGGAATTGTGTCACACGACTGCTGAGTCACTTGTGTCATTGCAGAGAAGCCAGGCAGGTGTTGAGGTGACCTAGTTGCCACAGAGAAGCCTCACAGAATGGTTACTGCAATCTGTGTCTTGGCGATGCAGCCAAACTTAATGGGGCAAAGATTGATGGTTCCTGCTGTGGACCCAGAAAGAGGGGGATAGTCAACAGCCACATTTTGTCCATCTGGGGTGGCCCTGACAGTGACAAATGCAGGACACTGCTTTATTTTCTGTGAGAGGAAAATGTTTTGTCTTTTGTTTGTTTGGGGGCCATTGAGATGGATCAGCAGGTTTGCTGTCCCCAGAACCCAGGGTGGAGAGTAGAAGGAGAGGGCCAGCTCCCTCATCACGTCTCTCTCACACACAGAGTAAATGAAAGAGAGCATCTTTGGTATTTTAAAAAGAAAGGAAATGTCTACTCAAATGAGGGTTTTTGAGACATTGTATTGCTCTGTAGCCTGGGCTGACCTGGAACTTGGAATTCTCTTCAACAGAGGTTAGAAAGTCTTCTACATGATCTTCATAATATGAATTTAAAACCTTCTGAGTTCAACCCAGACCCCCTCTAGGAAGCTGCCAAGTGAAACATAGTTGGTTAATTTCACAGTGGTACACAGGGGAACTAATTTGATAGTATGAAGAATTTAAGCCAGGGAACTCCATGCTTCCCAGTGTTTGAGTTGACTTTCATACACATAGCCCCAATATCAGCACTTCCTGAAAAGTAGCAGAACTGTCCTTTGAGCCCATCTCTGCTTCCTACCATTCTGTCAGATGCCCAGACACTCCCTTTGTGATAGGTCCACAAGAGAGTACCCTTAGAAGTATTTTGGATTTCCTGTTCCCAAATCTGGGTGCTCTGCTTTTTCATTTTCTTGTTTTTCTTAGCTTGACACAATGGCTGTGAGGGTCCTTCCTTCCACGTGGATGAAGGATCAGGTTTGCTTCCTTTTGAAACTGATGCCGCAGCAATGCCAGACACAGTATGAGCTGGGGAAGGTTCTCCAGCTGCTTGTCGGGACTGAGCACCTCTTCTCTGATGGTAAGCCAGAGTTGCCCTGAAGCTGCTGCCAGAAGTTAGCTCCCATATTGAATTATTTTTGGAGGGCATTCAGAATATTAGAGTGCACGGATAGATAGCATCACACTGACATCCACAACTAAGTGTGAAGAGGTCATCTGTAATAGTGGCATCAACCATGATGCAACCAGTCCTTCTAAACAGTTGTCACATGGACACACACACACACACACACACACACACACACACACACACAATCTGTATTGATGGGTCATTGTTTTCCTCTCTATCAGGTAACTATAACATGTCCTCATTGCTCATGGCCACAAACTCTGTTTCAGAAATAATTACTAATTGTGAACATCTCAGGGACAATTTGGGCTGCTTCTTTTGTGTGTGTGGATTCCTCCAGATGTTGGCACTTTCTAAGATTGTTGCCGATCACATCAAAATTTGGGTCTTTCAGGTTGTTGTTGGATGACAGTGTCCTCCTGTTGTACTGCCTGAAACTCACACATGTTCAACTAAAGAGCACACGTTCCATAGAACACTGGCAGAGTGCTGGGCTCCGTGCCAGACAGCATAGGCTCCAGGTTTTATGACGGGAAGAGAAAGGGGTGTTTCTAACATGCAGCATTGCAGGGTGGCACTAGCTGGTAACTGTGTATGTTGTTTAGTGTTTTGTCAAGTTCACTCAACCAACAGCTGCCTGGGAAGAGAGGTTCTCGATTGAGCAGTTGCTCAGAGCAGATTGGCCTGTGGTCATATCTATGAGGGATTGTCTCGGTTGTTGATTGACATGGTCATATCTATGAGGGATTGTCTCAGTTGTTTGACATGGGAGGGTCCAGCCCACTGTGGGCAGTGCCACCCCAGGGCAGCTGGTCCTGGGTTACAAAAGCTGGCTGAGCCCAAGGCAGAGGAGCAAGCCTGTAAGCAGTACTTGTCCATGGTCTCTGCCGCAGTTCCTGCTTCCAGTTCCTGCCCTGACTGCTCTCTGTGATAGGCAGTTACCTGGAAGTGTCAGCTGAAAGAAACCTTTTCCTCCCCAAGTTGCTTTTGGTCAGGATGTTGTAGCACAGCAATAAAAAAGCAAACTGCAACACATTGCTACAAGCAAGAATACTTTTTCAAAGCCTGTGTTTTACTCTGTAGTTCTTGTATCTGGGAGGCTGATTGATGCAGGAAGATCTGAGGCCAGTGTGGGCTACTTAACAAGAGTGTCTCAAAAACCCAGAAAAACATTTGTGTTTTCTATGGTGCCAGCAAAGAGAGAAGGCATGCCTGTACTGGTGGCTGTTGTATGGTGTGTCCCTGTCTCTAGAAGTACCTAAATCAGAAGTAGTCTACATGAGATGCCTCTCGTGCCTTTCCTTGTAATTGGACATGCATAGGCTTCATTCACATAATACTACTTGGAAACAGGAGCAAACCCAACCACACAGTATTGATAGAGAATCCTTACTGTGTCTGTTCATCTGTTTTGCAATGCTAGTTAGGCTGTGCACTATCAAGATGTACTCACAGTCCTAAAATTCCTAGTGTTACTAGGATAGTCCTCTCCAGGGACAACAGGGAGTGTAGCTGGCTCTCCCTGTATTGAGTAAATAGCAGTTGGAACAAACATTGCTCCACTCTGATATAGTGTGCAGTAGCCATGCCTGAGGACTGGCCAGAACACTCGAAGCTGCCCTACAAGCCTATGTCCCTTCCATATGATACTGGTATTGAGTGAACAAATGACCAAACAAATTTGATGGAAATAGAAACAAATGAGAGAGACAGAAACACACTAACATACACACACACACACACACACACACACACACACACACAGAGAGAGAGAGAGAGAGAGAGAGAGAGAGAGAGAGAGAGAGAGAATGCTAGCCTGAGTCATTGTCTCCAACTCCAAGGTTAGCATATTGCTATGGCATTGGAGAGCACCAGTCTTAGACACTTAGCTGGGCGTGGTGGCTCACACCTATAATACCAATGTCCAAGAGGCTGAGGTAGGAGAATTGCCATGAAACTGAGGTCAGTCTGGACTAACAGTGAGGTTCTGTCTAATAAAAGCCATGTGTGTATAATAGAGGTTGATTTCATGTGCTAATCTAGTCTCTACCAGTTCTTACAGCAAGGTGGGCAAAGTTCAACCAAACTTTGACTAAAGGCTTCGTAAGGTATACACACACACACCCACACACCCACACCCATACATGCACACATATGTACACTGAAAATGCTAAATGCCATATAATATAAATGTACATATTCATATTTACATATATATATCCATATGCATATGTGTTTGTGTGAAGAGAGAGAGAGCAGTTAGCATTTTGATTATGTAGGGAACGGAACTTAAGGCTTCTGTAATAGGTCAAAATAAAAGATTCATTGGGTTTTTTTGTTTGTTTGTTTGGTTTTGTTTTGTTTTGGTTTCTCTGTAGCTTTGGAGCTTACCCTGGATGGAACTCGACTTGTAGACCAGGCTGGCTTCGAACTGACAGAGATCCGCCTGCCTCTGCCTCCCTAGTGCTGGGATTAATGGTATGTGCCACCACCATCCAGAAAAAGATCCCTTTGTATGGGACACATGCCACACACCTGTAGGCACTTGGGAAGTAGAGACTGAAGAGTCAGGAGTTCGTTTTCCTTGGCTATGTAATGAGTTCAAGACCAGCCTGGGCTATGTGCTACCCTGTCTCAAAAACCAAAAACAAACAAGAAAAACGGGAAAAGGAAGTCCTGTATTTGTCTCTCCTTCTCTCACACTAGTGTTTGCCCACACTTCGGACACTGCAGCACTGTTGTGTGACTGTGTCCTCTCTTCCACACAGGTCCAGATGTGCAGAAGCTGTGTGTCCTCAGCCAGATCTTGAAGGACACGCCTGTAGCCATCAACCCAGCTGTTATTACCAGCTACAGCGCTGAGAATTTTCAGCATGAGTGTAGATCTATTTTGGAAAAGCTGAAGGCAGATGGACAGTTTGCTGTGGCCAGGAGAGTGGCAGAGTTAGCCGCATTACCTGTGGACAGCTTGGTGATTGAACAGGTAGATCGTTTAAGTTACTCACAGTCCTAACAGAGAACCAATGGGATGCAGTTCATAGGTGACATGGCCCTCTGCACATTGCTTCAGAAGTGAACACACTTTGCATATGTTGAAGAATACATATTTTTGATGTAAGCATGGCCTGTAAAACAGCAGTTCTCAAGCTGGAGGTCACATATCAGACATCCTGCCTGTCAGCTATTTATGTTACAGATCATAACAGCAAAATTACAGTTATGAAGTGGTAAGAAAAATAATTTTATGGTTGGGGGTCACCATACCATGAGGAACTGTATTAAAGGGGACAGCCTTAGGAAGATTGAGAACCATTGCTGTGGTATAAGCTTGAGCTGTTTCCTTTGAACAGGATAAACATAAGGTGGCTTTCTCTGGGCCTCTCTCAGTTGGATGCACTGAGAATTGTTCTTATACTAGCTGTGCACAGGTTTGTGCCCAGCACTTTCTGCAGCCCAGGCTTGTCCTTGTCTGTACTCATCAGATGTGCTTGTAGCCAGCACGACTTAGGAGGGAGCATTAACATCCGGGAGGCTGCGTTCTTTACCCGCTGCCAGGCTGAAGTCTGCTTTGTTCAATTTCACAGCTAGCCCAGGAAATGAAGACCCTGAAACACACTCAGCAGTGGCCCCGCAAACACACAAGAATTGACTTCTGGAAAAAATGCCATGAAATTTTTAAGAAAAACTCCATTTCCAACAGGGCAGCCTCTTCCTTCTTCTCCAGTCAGGTCCCTGTGGTGAGTGAGCACCCCACTGAGCAAGACGATCTTGAGGAGCGCCATCTGTTGCTCACACTGGTGGGGCACTGGCTCGCCCGAGAAGAGCCTGTTCCCTTGGAGGAGCTGGAAGCGCTGGAGAAACAGACCTGGATCTGCCGCATCACCCAGCACGCCCGCCCAGAGGAAACCCGGCCCAGCCCCTCTCAGCAGAAGTCAGCTGATGTGGAACTGTCCTTTGATAGCTTAGCCGATGAGTTTTCCTTCTCCAAGCTTGCTGCTTTGAACACATCCAAATACTTAGACCCTAATGGTCTTCCATCCAAAGAGATGTGTGAGAACACACTGGACTGCAAGGAGCGGGAATCACTGAATGTTCTGGTTGGACACCTGCTGGATGGCGGCTGTGTGCACGAAGCAAGTAGAGTGTGCCGGTATTTCCACTTCTACAGTCAGGATGTAGCGCTAGTGTTGCACTGCAGAGCCTTGGCCTCCGCAGAGGCCAGCGTGGAAGACGGGCACTCGGAGATCCGTGCCCTTCTCCCAAGTGCTGTGCTGCCTGAGGACCAGGAGAGCCCTAGTGTCCCTCTTCGGAAAGTCCATAGCGGTAAGTAAAGGGTGACACATTGTCCTCTTTGCCACATGGTGTGGCGCTGTCTCCTAAAAGGAGGACCTCTTGGGATTTACACTAAATAAGGAGACAGTAACTTTTCCCCAAGTAATGCATTTACAAGGTAATTAACTAGTCAATAAAGTAACACCCTTTAGTGTATAGCTCAGGTAGGGGAATCGAGTTTGGCTGATAGCTAGTTTAGTTGACTGAAGTTATATAAGCCAGCACTGGGAGGCAGAAGCAGGATTGCCCATAAGTTTGAGGCCAGCCAAGGGCTACATAATCAAACTATCTCAAAACAAACAAACAAACAAACAAATACCCAGGCATGTGAGCTTATGCCTTTAATGTCAGCATTCAGGAGGCAGGGACAAGTGGATGTCAATGAATTCAAGGCCAGTTTGGTCTACATACCAAGTTCCAAGACAGCCAGGTCTAGAAGGAAAAAAATAATATAAAGCACATAAACCACCTTGGCAGGGGCCAGTTTGGTTTCCAGCATCCAAGTTAGGCCAATCACACGACCTGTAATTCTAGCTCCAAGGGGCCAACACCTTCTAAACTCTGCTGCACTCACACATACACAAACACAGAATTAAAAGTCAAATCTTTGTTTAAGAGTTTATAATTATACATTGGTAGCATATAGAAATAGAATAGACTTTTGTGTTATTTTGTTATTTGTATTGAACTTGCTTTTCCCTGTTTTCTTATTCTTGGTTTTTTTTTTTTTTTTCATAGACATGTCATGTATAAATAGAGAGGGTTCTGTGTCACCATCACTCTCACTTTTTGTCATTATGCTGGCTGGGCTAAAACTATGTTAGGAGGGGTGACCGTGGCATACTTCCTAGCTGCTGATCTTAGGAGGAAAGCACTCGGCCTTATTCTGCTCTGAGTTTGGAGATGGATTTTTATCGCCATTGTTTAGTGTTTGTCTCTGCACCTTTGATCTGGTCATGTTTGTTTTTTCCTTCTGTGAACTATTAATATGATACTAATTTTTTTTAGATTTATTTATTATGTTTACAACATTCTGCCTCCATGTATGCCTGCACAGGAGAAGAGGGCACCAGATCTCATTACAGATGGTTGTGAGCCACCATGTGGTTGCTGGGAATTGAACTCAGGACCTCTGGAAGAGTAGTTAGTGTTCTTAACCTCTGAGCCATCTTTCCAGCCCAAGATACTAATTTTAAATACCGTACTGACCTTGTGTTCCCAGGTAGACATGTTACCCTTTGATAGATACAGCTGGGATTGGTTAGCTCTTCAGCTGAGGACCTTGTATTCATTTTCTTGAGGAATATTCTCTAGTTCAGTGATGGGGGAAGTCCTTGTGTGTATGTGTTTGTCTTATTGGTTGATAAATAAAGTACTGTTGGCCAATAGGGAAGTAAGATAGGTAGGACTAGGAGTCGAGGGGGGATTCTGGGAAATGTAGTAAAAAGAAGTCTTGTGATCCAGGCAGGAAGTGACATAGCAGGCAGACTCAGAATATAAGCAGGGACAAGCAGGAAATCGCTCTCTTCCTCTTGCTCCTGCTCTTTTCTCTGGAGCCACCACATGTTTGACTTTGAGACAGGGTCCCTCGACATAGCCCTGACTGTCCTGGAACTCACTCTGTAGACCAGGCTAGGCTCAAACTCACAGAGATCTGCCTGCTTTTAGAGTGCTGGGACTAAAGGTGTGCACCACCAAACCCAGCTGTGGTTTATTACTAAAAAATAGTTTTTGTCTGGTTATTTATTTATTTTGATTTTTTGAGACAGGGTTTCTCTGTGTAGCTTTGTAGACCAGGCTGCCCTTGAACTCAGAAGAGATCTGCCTGCCTCTGCCTCCCTAGTGCTGGCATTAAAGGCATGCTCCACCGATGCCCGACAGGGCATTTTATTTTTATTTTTAAGCAGTTGGGGTAATTCTGGTTTCATAAATTGGAATTTTATTTCATTTTAATTTTCTGAATGCCATTCCCACCCCATCCCTTCCAGGGATTTTATGTAGCCTAGGCTGACCTTTAGTTCTCTCTGTGCCTGAGGTGATGCTGAATCCCGACTCTCCTACCTCCACCTCTCAAGTGCTTGGATTCATGCCATGAGCCACTGTGGCTGACTTGATGTTATTTCCTCAAATCTGCATCCAGAGTCTTAATAAAGAATATTTATAATCATGAATCCCTTTTGTAATTATGCAACTACTAAGGTTATCTTTTGGATGAGTTTAGATAGTTTGTGATTTTTGATTATTTCCTGTTTTTTGAATTATTTGGACTGTTTTCTTTTAAGAAATGTGCATGGGTGTTTTTCACTGTGTGTGTGTATATATGTACACCATGCGTGCCTGGTGTCCACAGAGGCCGGTACAAGGTATTGGATCCAGTGGAAACAGTTACAGTTGTGAGTCTCCATGTGGATTCTTGGAATCAAACTGGGATTCCCTAGAAGAGCAGCCAGTGTTCTTAACTGCTGAGCCATTTCTTCAGCCCCTCACACCTTTTTGACGCAGGGTCTATGTAGTCCTGGCTGGCCTGGAACTCACTATGTAGACCTTGTTTGTGCACCATGTGGATCCATTGCCCTCAGCAGACAGAAGAGGGCATCCAATCCCTGGAACAGGAGTTAGGGTTGGTTGTCAGCTGTTATGTGGGTACTGGGAAATGAACCTGGATTCTCTCTCCAAAAAACAATATGGGGGCTAGAGAGATGGCTCAGAGGTTAAGAGCACTGGCTGTTCTTCCAGAGGTCCTGAGTTCAATTCCCAGCAGCCACATGGTGGCTCACAACCATCTATAATGAGGTCTGGCGCCCTCTTCTGGCATGCAGGCATACATGCAGGCAGAACACTGTAATCAATAAATCTTTTTTTTTTTTTTAAGAGCAATATGGATTTACCTCTTCCCAACCATAACTCACTCAACTGCCATTGCAGTCTCTAGCACCACAGCCAAGAGGTGGCTTGGATGCCAGGGCAGCGGAGAGTAAGCACAAGAGTTTAGGCCCCACCTTAAAACCAGTGCTAGTGCTTGAGTGCACCTATGTACGGACACACGTACAGTCTCTCCTCCACCTCCACGCTCCCTGTACTATCTCTAGTACAGATTACTAGAGATGGGAAAAATGCCAATTCTGATCATCTTCAGTTTGCTTGCTGTGTTGTACTTCTCAGCTTCCTCATATAGCCACTGTATATCTTTATTATATGTGGTCAGAGTTCAGTGGGGGGAAGAGTGGAGTGAGTCCATTTCATCTAACGAGAACTCAGTGCCCTTAGTGAAGGATTAACATGGTCTGAGTTGTGCTTCATTTATTATCACCACCATCATTTGGGATTTGTTTGTTGTGTTTTGAGACATAGCCCACGTTGTCCTCCCACTTGGCTATGTAGCCAAGGATGACCTTGAACTCTTGATCTCCCACCCCCAAGGACTGGGATCAGAAGATGCCCCCCAACACCCTGCTTCACTTTTAAAGTGTGTTTTAGACTTCAGCTGTTTTTCTGTTTGTTTGTATCACTATATGGCCAGGGGTGGCCGTAACTTTTCCTGAATATCCGTGTCCACTTCTAGAGTGGCAGGATTACAAGCTAGTGCCACGTAACTTACGTGATGATGGCAGTGGAGCACAGGACTTCATGCATGCTGAGCAAGCACTCAGCTGAGTGAACTGTATCTTCAGCTCATGGTGCTTAATATTTTAAGCATAGAAGTTTAAATTAACATGCTCAGTGTAACAAATGACAGCACAGTCACAAAGTGTGTGAAAATTCAATGCTATCTTTTCAAAGCTCTCAGAATGCCAATTTTTTGCATGCGTGGTATGTTATTTTCTGCATGCCAGTGCAAACACATATAAAACATTTCCCCCAAAGTTAGAGTCTATCATATAACCTACATGTTTTCCCTGTCGGGATGTACCAATGGGCTCTCTAATGGGGAAAGATTATTTTACTGGGACTGAATGGATGTACCATAGTTTAATGGTGTTATTGATAGTAAAATCTGTGTTACATAAATAGGGTGGCAGCTCACATCTATAATCTAAGCACTTGGGAAGCTAAAGCAGAATCACTTCAAACTTAAGGCCAGCCTGGGCTACAAAGAGAGTTTCAGGCCAGCTGGTGCTAAGAATGAGATGCTAAGGAACAAAAAGGAAACAACAAATTATTATATATTCTTTTATTTTTTCTTTATAGAAACCTTTTACCAAGAAACATTTCTCCTATTTCAAGTTAAGGCTTAGGATTTTTACAGTACTGGTATTGAACCTAAGGCCTTTAGAAATGTGCTAGGTAAGCCCTCTGCCACTGAGCTGTATGCCTGGCCCTAAGATTTCCTTTCCAAAAACCCAGAATGAGTCTGTGGAGGAGTGGTTTGAAGGAGAAGGGTGGCTGGCAGTCAGAGGCAGAGCAGGGTGAAGTGAGGACCAAGGAGGTTGAGAGATGTTCTGGAGATCAGTAGATGTGCTGGCTATGAAACACAAGGCGGAATTCAGGAGCAGCGGTGTCTGATGGCGTCTTGGTGCTGACCTCTAGAGCATGCAGGAAGCCTTGAGTTGGAGCTAGTGTGAGATCACTGAAGAAATCATGGTTGGATTTCCTGAAAGGGGTTCTGTCAGAAGTAGTCCTAGACTGAGGAGCATCATGGGAGTTGAGTTTAGGGGTGCTTTTCAGAATGATGAAGTCATGGGGAGACGGGGAAAGGCCAGCCCAAAGCTCCCTTCAGACCTGGATTTGCTTTCAGCTTCAAGTTTGGATAGTCAGTCGTTCATGATGGCGCCATCTACTGATGAAGTGGCAAGGAATCTCCAAGCTCTCACAAGCAAGTGCCTCCACGGGAAGAACTACTGCAGGCAGGTCCTCTGTCTGTATGAACTTGCCAAGGTATGTGTGAGGGGGATCCCACAAGAGCACTGTCTGGGAGGGAAGTGGGAATCTGGGGTAGACTTCGGACATTGTGGAGGCAGCTCTTCAGATGGCAATCATCAAAGAGTGGGGCTACAGGTCAGTGGTAGAGTGCTTGCCTAGCATGAGCAACTATGAGGAACTATGACTTGTACATAAGGCCCTTGTCAAGATGTTGGCCCACCTGGGGACTAGTGAGGAGGATGCCATGTCAGTTTGAGTCCTGGATGTAGCTCAACCAACCAGAAAGGTAGGGCAAGATATTTACCTTCCATGGGCTCCTACCTCTTCTCTATAATAATTTGAACTTGAGTTTCTTCTAGACTTCATGCATTAGATTTTGCTTTATGGTTCAAACATCACAGTTGATACATACAAAGACTGAAGGCTTAAGCCTCTAATCCCAGGACTTGGGACACTGAAGCAGGAGGATTGTCAGGAGTTTGAGGCCAGCCTGGGCTGTGTAGCAAAACCCTTTCTCCTCTTTCATCCCCTTATTCAAAAAAAAAACAAAAAAAAAAAAACAAAAAAAACAAAACAAAAAAAAAAAAAAAACAGAGCAGCCAGGATTTGTGTGTGGCCCTGTGCTGGTTGAGAAACAGCCAGAAAGTGCAAGAATGTGAGGGAAACAAGGCTAAGCAGCCCTTTGCCTCAGACTGGGGATTTCTGGAAACTTAGGCCTCGGCTTATGCTCCAGGAACAATAAGGGGTCTTTCACATTTCATTCCATTCCTTTACACTGTCTGACAGAAAAGATCAGCATTCAACACGAGGTGAAGTGGCTTGGTGAAGTGACAGGACCAGACAGTATACTACTGGCTGCATCTGGGGCTCTGGGATTGCTAAACTCAGGCGACAGTGGTCTGCCCACACATTTCAGAACGCATCCTCTTACTTTTTGCTTAAAGCATGACTCTGCTTCTGTTATCTTCCACTTAGGAGTTGGGCTGCTCCTATGCTGATGTTGCTGCCAGGGACAGTGAAACCATGCTCCGGACAATCTTGGCTTCTCAGCGGCCTGACAAATGCAGACAAGCCCAAGTCTTCATCAGCACCCAGGGCCTTGAGCCAGACACTGTGGCTGAATTAGTGGCCGAAGAAGTCACACGAGAGCTGCTGACCCCATCAGAGGGAACAGGTGCCCTTCTCTCCAGACCTCCCCAACCTCTCAGACAGCACTGTTTCCCAGTATGAAATATTCTAATATTAAGCCACATACAGCTTGTGCCCTTTCAAGATTCCAGATTCTTGTAAGGAAAAACAAAAACAAAAAACTTTTACATTCATCTTACTGCTCTGTATTATGATCATAGAATAGTTCTGCCTCTGAAGACTGCCCCTGTCCTATAAGGCAGATGAAAGAGTTGTCAACATTCCCTCCTGCTGCCAGGCCTGTGCAAAGTTGACCTCCTGGCCCCATGCTCTGGTCCTTCTGCCAGCTCTCTCATGGCAAACTGCCTGTCTCCATCTCTCTGTGCAGGAGAAAAGCAGCCTTTCAACCCAGCAGAAAGCCAGACATTTCTTCAGTTAACCACTGTATGTCAAGACCGCACACTGGTAGGCATGAAGTTGCTGGACAGGATTCCCTCCATCCCCCACGGGGAGCTGTCCTGCAGTAAGTTCTTAGAATTAAAACTTTTGTACTGTTGTAGTACCTTTAGATTGCTTCCAGTTTTTGCTATTTAAGTTTAAGCCTGTGGAGGATGAGAGTGTTTTCTAGACAGGCCCTTCACTTTCCTGCCAAGCAGAAGTCAACAGCAGTTACAAGCCCCTTACCCACATCCTATTTACTACCCAGCCACAGAGCTCCTGATCCTGGCCCACCACTGCTTCACCTTTACGTGCCACATGGAGGGCATCATGAGAGTCCTGCAGGCTGCCCGGATGCTTACAGATAACCACTTGGCTCCCAACGAGGAATATGGGCTGGTGGTGAGTAGTCCCTCAAATCCATTCTCATCCTGAGGCAGCTTTGAAGAGAAAGACAAGGGCTCCAGCTCACAGTTGATAGAGTCTCAGGGAATTCTGCCCTCTGGATCCTCATATCAACTTGATTTCTAGCCAGACAGTTCAGCCCTCTGTTGCTGGTTGATTTGTCAAAATAAGTGTTCCAAAAGAGCAGAATGTCCCCTGCCATGTCCCAGTATCTTCTTGCAAGGAAGTCAACTTTTCTAGGGGAAAGAACTGTTTCTCCCCCAAGCAAGGTTCGGGTATGATGTATAAACGAAGTACTCAAGCCCTTTATGCCTCCCCAATTAGGTAAGTAAAATGTACCCTAGTGGGATGAGTGACAAGAGGAAGCACCCACTCAGAGACATTTTGTAGCACTTGGTAGTCAGTTAAAAAAAAAAGAAGACGACAAAGGGGGGCTGGAGAGATGGCTCAGGGGTTAAGAGCACCGACTGTTCTTCCAAAGGTCCTGAGTTCAATTCCCAGCAACTACATGGTGGCTCACAACCATCTGTTATGGGATCTGGTGCCCTCTTCTGGCCTGCACTGTATACATGATAAATAAATCTTAAAAAAAAAGAAGAAAAAAAAGGGGGTAACAACCAATGACACTGATTCATTTCCAAATTATCCAGAGAGGCCTCGGTTGAATGATTGGGAGGGAATGAAGCATGGCAGCCTGACCATTCATTATTCACCCTTCTCACCATGGAGCTTTTGGCATTTGGTGAGAGTAGTGGTTTGGCTTTAGCAGCTCAAGTGCCCTTTCCCTTAGGTACGCCTCCTCACTGGCATTGGAAGGTACAATGAGATGACATACATATTTGACTTGCTGCATCAAAAGCACTATTTTGAAGTTCTGATGAGGAAGAAGCTAGATCCGGTACGTATGTAGTAATGAACTCCAGGACATGAGTCCCACCTGCCCTTGGGATGCATCTGTATGGGGCTCTAGAATGTTCAGGAAGGTCAGGGACTTCCCCTGGGTGCACACTATGACCAGTGACTTCATCTGCAGAGTTCAGACTGTCATGATATTGATGCTAAATATTGAAGAAAATGTTTGTCTTTGTCACCTCAGCCTTTAACCTATTGTATAAAAAGTGCCTGTTCTGGCAAGAACCCCACCCCACCCCCAACCAGGCCTGTCAGTGCTAAGGCTGTGCTGAAACGCTAGAAGAGTATTTCTGTATTTTCAAACAAAATATGCTGCTGAGAACCATGGTGGGACTCTCATTCTGACAGAGGACTCAGGCAGGAAGATTTTAAAGCTAGACAGAGCAGACATAACAGGGCTCATACACCTTAGGAACTCAAGAGACTGGCGGCATGTACCAGCCCAGCCCCAGTTCAAACCAGACAAATTCCAGCATAGAAAAAGGAAAAAGGACACAAAGCCCCACCAAGAAGCTTTTTGTAATTGACTCTTCTGGGAAAGAGAAAAGTTGGTTATAGTGACACTGGGTATATCAACCACACTCCAGCTCTATTTTCAGAAATGTGGGTCACCACAAAACAAACTCCATGGTTTTGTGTTGTTCTGTTTTTTGTTTTTTTTTTTTTGTTTGTTTTTGTTTTTTTAAGAGAAAGAACATGAGGTTGGATGGGTAGGGAGGATCTAGGAGGAGCTGCAGAGAAAAGAATAGGATCAAAATATATAAAAAAACACTCTAAAGCCAGTAAGTACAACAAAAGATACCAAGGTAGAAAGTAAAGTACAGACCTGGGCCAGAGAACTATTTATGACAACCAGAAAAACCTTTGAAACAGAGGCCTAGTTCGATGGGTTTTGAGCCCTGGAGCATCTCTATCCCATTATGTGCTATAACATGAGATATGTCACTCAAATAGCCTTTGTTTACAAAGTATGTGGGATGGGGGTTGCCTTGTTCATTTCTAGTGTTAGGCTGTGTCAAGACAATCATGCTGATGACAAAGAAGCAAGACCAGACATGGTCCGTCCTCAGGGTCCCCAGATTTTAAAATTGTTATTTTGAGGCACTTTTTGCATTTAAAATTATTTTAATAACCTTTTTTCTGATTACAAAAGTAATACATACTCCATATAAGACACTTAGAAAATACAGAGGTCCTCAGTGTTCATCATCTGGAGACAGCCACTGCTAATATGATATACCCTTCTTTGCACATGTACCCCAATATAGAAATTCACATTTTAGCAAAATGTTATGCTTTGAAAATAAGAGATAATTGAGTTTCTCTTTTTACAATATCTGCTGTGGCTATTTCCTAAGCCAAAGTAGTCCATGTGCAGCAGAGGCCATAGTTAAGTGGTAAAGTATGTGCTTAGCCCTGGGTTCATCCCCCCCCCCCCCCCCCCCCCCCCCCCGCGCGCGCGCGCGCGTGTGTGTGTGTGTAGACTCCCATCAGCAATTCAATGACAAGGTATTCTTAGACTTTAATTTGGGGCATCCTGGCTGCTTTTAATGCTATTAAATCTGTTATGCTCACCTTCACACCTGCATCTTTAGCATAGAGCCTAGTAAGCAGAATGCTAGGTGTGTGTACTCTTACGGCTGTCTTCTTTCTGGTCAGGTTAACTGTTTATACCCCCAAGAAGGACTCCTGTTTCCTTATCCTAAAGACAGCTTAAAAATTTGTAGTCACTTTCATCTTTACTCATCTTTACCTTAGAAAATCCAAGGTACTCGGTTGATCCTCCCTGTGACCCTGGTTAAGACCTTGGATATCCCTTTTTTTCCTGGGCAGAGCGGTACCCTGAAGACAGCCTTGCTAGACTACATCAAACGATGCCGCCCTGGAGACAGTGAAAAGCACAATATGATTGCCCTGTGCTTCAGCATGTGCCGGGAGATAGGGGAGAATCATGAGGCAGCAGCCTGTATCCAGCTCAAGCTAATCGAGTCTCAGCCCTGGGGTGAGTGAATGCAGCACCTCCACAGCAGGAGCCCTGTCAGCTCTTTAGGAGTAAGGGCACTCAGTAGGTGGCAGGAGATGGCAGTTCACAGAAGCGTTTGAGCCTTAGGACTACACGCCTAAAGTGTCAATCCATCAAACCCTACAATTAAGTTCTAGTAAGGGCATTTCTTGCTGTAGTGAAACATCTACTTGGGTTGTTTCTCATTTTGCCTGCCATCACTGAGTGGTCTGAGTCATCCCTCAGCTTTATAGCAAGTATCCTTTATTCTACAGAGGAAAGCCTCAAGGATGGAGTCCAACTAAAACAGCTCCTGCTTAAAGCTCTGACTCTGATGTTGGATGCAGCGGAGAGTTATGCCAAGGTAACCAGTGTTGTTCTAGCCTTGTCTCCAGCATCTGTAGTAGTAGGAATTACTTTGGCTTGGGCTCTTCCAAGTGAAGAGGGAGTGTGGAATGGGCCAAGCAGCTGAGTAAATTCTCCCTTGTGCTTCCCTCTACCCTTGTTCCTCAGGACTCCTGTGTACGACAGGCCCTACACTGTAAACGACTCACCAAGTTAATAACACTACAGATTCACTTTCTGAACACTGGTCAGAACACAATGCTTATCAACTTGAGCCATCAGAAGCTAATGGACTGTATCATGGCGCTACCTAGGTTCTACCAGGTAAGAAGACTCTGGCAGGCACTGCAGTATAATCCTATAGTGTCTCACTCTTGGCATCCAGAAGCTAAGTAACTGACTGGGGTCTCAGGCTAAGGACAGAACCAGGGCAAACTAGCTATCCCCATAATATAGCTGCCTAATAGTATCACGAAGAGGCAATCCGAGATGCATATGCATAGTGATTCAAATCAAACAAGATCCTTACAAATTTAGGAAGTGCTCTACCATTTAAGGCACACACACCCCCCCCCCCAGCACTATCTGATGAATTATCTCTAGCACATCATTTGGACAAAGGGTAGAGAATTTCCATGTTTGGCAGACTTCTTGGCTTGTCCTCTTAGCAATCTTTCAGACTGTGTCCCTGGAATGGTATGTGCAGGTTAGCACTGAAAATCAAGTCTGCCCAGAAATTGATTCTAGCCCTTTAAAACAAAGGGGACTAATGTCCCAGCATCAACTCTTTCCTTCTTCCCATGAAGCTGGGCTATGGAAATGGTTACTCACACCCGCGATTTACTATCCATTAGAAGGAAGACTAAAAACAAGTTACTGAAGGGGTTTTTAGGGGAGTGAGGGAATGACAACCTTTAATCCTGTGATCATAGTTCACTATATACAGTGCTGTTTCTTAGACACTGCCTTCAGTTCTGCAGCATGGGCTCTAATAGCACCCCCTTCACTCCCATCCTTTTAAGGCTTCTATTGTAGCCGAGGCCTATGACTTTGTTCCTGATTGGGCTGAAGTTCTCTACCAACAAGTGATTCTTAAAGGAGACTTTAGTTACTTGGAAGAATTTAAACAGCAAAAATTACTAAGACCCAATATATTTGAAGACATTTCCAAAAAGTAAGTACTTAAAGTTGACTAATCCCAGCAATTGCTTCAAGTCCTAGTGTGTTCCAGGACAGCCAGGGCTACATATGAGGATGCTGCCTTTAAAATAAAGTTGATTGTGAGCTAGAAACTCTAGCAAAAGTTTCTTTTGCAGTATTAACTATATTTAATTAAGGTGAGTGCTGACATATTTGGGCTTTGTTTTTTTGTTTTCCTTAAGACAGGGTTTCACTGTGTAGCTCTGACTGTACCAGAACACTCTGTAGACCAAGATGGCCTCAAACTCACATAGCTCTACGTGCCTGTGTCCTCCCAAGTGCTGGGATTAAAGGTGTGAACCACCAATGCCCAGCGACTAACTTGTTTTTAATGGAATTAATTCATCAAAATAATTTCCTAAGCTACAATACCCCCACAGATAGTGGAGACAGAGCTCATCCCTCTCCCCCAGTTGATGATACAGTATTTAACCTGGACTTTATACATTTTTGTGTAGATATAAACAACATCAGCCTACCGACAGGGTCACAGAAAACCTGAAGAAGTTACTTTCATATTGTGAAGATATCTACCTGCATTACAAGCTGGCATATGAACACAAATTTTTTGAAATTGTGAATGTGCTTCTGAAGGACCCTCAAACAGGATGCTGTCTTAAAGATATGCTTGCAGGTTAGAAGATCTGAAAGATAGCTAATATCTTTTTGTACCTATATGGCAATAAAGTATTTGGAGAGTTTTATCCCCACTTGAGGTGAAAATCCCAGAAATATATCTTATCACATCATTCATTTGTGGTTGTAGGGACTGAAGGAGAAATTGGTATTAAGATCGAAAGCTTGTTAGAATGACTTCTACATTAGGAGAAACAGTAGTGATTAAAAGAATACCTGTGCCTGCAGGTTCCAGTTTCAAAGTAATTTAATCTTATTTACACAGTTAAGGAACAGGGGATACATTTTCATGAGTTAGAAACTGATCTTTCTATAATAAAATAGGTTTTAATTCAGTGTCTGTCATTATTACTGCTAAGTAGATCTTAGCCCTTGTCTGCTTTCAACAGTATTTACTGTAGTTATTGCTATGTAGTCACGGCCTTCTATTAATTCAAGTCATTTATATGGTCCTGTTTTCCACTTAGTGGTCTACAGAGCTTTGAGGTTCCTATTGCCTATGGAAGAGAAACTATAAAGCATTTTTTTGTCCTGGCTGTGACAATTTTGGGGACCAAAAGAAAAAAACAAAACAAAAAACCAAACAAACAAAAACCTAACCACAAATTTTGTTACATTACTTAAAATGATCACCCGATTTATGCTTACAGCAATAACATGAGTAGTAGGTGTCAATACTCCAAATAAATAGTTCTAGGTACTTAATTGGGCCTTAGCATCTAAACAACAAAATAATTTCCCAAATGAACAGGAGGAAGACAGCTTCTGTTGCTCTACAGCTAAACTACTAAAGACCCCAAACACTTGCCTCAGCTGTAACTACATCAGGCACTGATTGAGTACACAGAGAACTCCACCCAAGAGCTGCATCCTGTACTCTCAATTATCTCTTGGGAGGTAACACAAAATTTAAGTCCTCACAATAGTTATTTTATTAAATTAGTTGCTTTATAAAACATTGCAGATGTCATAATTGTTAACATAACAATTTACCAAACTGTAGTTAACTGGTGCAGTTTGCTGAGCATGTTTTATAAAGAAAAGGAAATGCCAAAACCCTGTTAAGTTTTTCCATTGCAGCCTAGAAGAACAAGATTTGTTTCTCAGACACCTGAATCAGGCAAAATAGAAACAGTTCCCTCCCCCATCTGAAGTCCTCCATCAGTAGAAATAGCTGATAAATAACTAGACAGTCAATGCACTGGATCATCCACCACTTGCACTGTAATAACGGAGAGGTTTACCTTCTTCAGCTTCAAAGTTGAAGGGTTTTGGTCATTAAAATCTTAAGTATCAAACTAGTATTTTTCAGCCACAGTATCTTCACTCTGAGATAAGCAGTCTTCTTCACAACATGTTTTTAATATCCTCAGCTCAATTTTAAGACAAAGCAATTTTAATACTAGGTGCATCCCACATGCCCTTGCTTGCTGCAAACTGCTTTTCTTGACAAGTTATGAAGTAGTTCAAGGAGGTATGGTTAAGGCTGTATTACTGAATGGTGCTGGTAAATACTACACAATTTTTTTTTGTCATGTTGCAACCTTTGTTTCCAATTTAGTGACTGCTGCTATGGAATCAAATAGCAACAATGACAACATTATTAGGTTTGTTTTGTTTTTAAACTATGATTTTGTAGCAACTGAGGTTCCCAATTTTAACCCCTTGGCAACAAGATCCAAGTTCCCTCATTTGCTCATTAGCACCTGAGTGTCAAGGGGTTAAATAACCAGCACAAAAGATACTGCACTTCTGATTGTAGCATTTGGCAGAACTGAAAGGAAAGGAAGTTGTGCTACATGTTGAAGGGATTGTGGGCAACATAAAGAAGACACCAGGAGAAGATAAAAGGTCACATGAAGTCTTCATAGTCTTGTACATATCCTCCATCATATCCACCATAATCAGCCAGATCGTCTTTCATGGTGGCCTTTAATCCCCCTCCAGGAACCACACCTTTCTTCTTCTTTTTGGCTTTGTTTTGCTAAAAATGAAGGAAGAGTTAAATTCATGAACCTTTATCTGCTATGGGTATTTCATCTGTCACAGTATGTACTCAAAGAGATGCTAAAAGCTACAACAATTTTTATTGTATGTCTGTGAATGGAGACCAACAGGCACCACTCTGCTGTTCTGTTCTAACTTAAAATTTCAATGGGTTCTTTACTGTGTTGAGGGAATTCTGCCCACAGCCCCAACTTAGCACAAGTCATTTCTCTGTACAGCTTGCCCTTACCTTTTCTTGCTTCTGTTTTTCACTGCAAAGCACAGTCAATGAATTGGTAATCTTTTTCAAGTCATCAATTTCCACTTTAAAAAAGAAACAGACATACTTTTAAACTTCATTTTAAAATCAAAATAGATATTCTTATATTATAAAATGTCATTACTACAACTACGAATTTCTTCTTTCTATGGCTGGGCTCAGTGATAGCTCACTAAAGTACAATGGTAAACACAATGGCTATAAAAACTGAGCACTCAAACTGGCACATCTCTGTGAGTGCAAGGCCAGCCTGATTGATCTACAGAGAGCTCTAGTACAGTCAAGGCCCTCCATACAACATAGTGAAACCCTGTCTTAAAAAACAATTATTTATGAACTCATTAGCATTTGCTTTACCTCTCCCATCTTTCCTCAGTCTAAACAGGAGGGAGACTAACCACAGCCTCTACAATCATTGAGTAGCAGCTACATTGAACATGCAATGATAAGTAAACACATATGATAAGCCTCTGCCCCGCTGTGTTTTCTAGCCCAAGAACCACATCACTTAGCGGACAACATATCCTTTACTTAATTGGGGGGGGGGGGGGGGTGGAAAAAAATCAGTTCTTATATACAGAAAATGTTGGGGTTTGGTTAGATAGCTCCTCCACAAAAGAAACACAGGAAAAAACAGTTCCTATAAAATCCGCCTATGAGTAATAATCACATTGGTGTAGCATCCTAGCATAAGGGAGCCAGTTCTGTCGGGCAATTTAGACAGTATCTCAGACTCCATTTGTAAAATCAATTTCTGAGGGTCTTACTGAGCTCTAAACCTGAGAAGCCCCTAATGCATTCCCTCTAAAGATACTGTGTAGGCCTTTAGGAGATTATTGGATAAAAGGGTTACCTAGTGTTGTGACCTGTTTTGTATGGCATAAGACTGCTATCTCTGTGAGAAGCTACTATATAAAACAATGAAAGTAGCCATCCCCAAATATTCAAACTGGAGATATTTGCTAAAAAAGGAAATCCCAAGTCTGTATTATAGCATTAAAGCTATAGAAAAACAAAACAAACAGTAACAACAAAAAAAGTTTCCCAAGTATGTTAAGAATATAGTCTTAACAAAGGGGGCAGAAATCAGCATCACTTACATGAAATACAGACATCTCGAACTAAGGCTTCCAAAAAACTGGCATAATATAGTGATTTTTCATATTGCGTAATTTTATCTTTTAGTAATTTTCCAAATTCTGTGAAGTCATCTCTTGAAGATGGGTTCATAGCATCTATTCCATAACCTGTATTATTAACACCTGCAGGAGAAAAGAGCTGAAGCATTAGAAGACAATCATTTTCATCAATAGGGGCTAGAATGGCTCTCTGGGTAAGAAGAGCTTTACCCATGTAAAGATGATTACACAACAAAACTGTCTTCTGACTTCAACACAACCCTCTCTGTAACAAAAACCTTAAAGTTCATTAACCAAGTTGCTATCAAAATCAGTTTTATTCTAAAGCAGGACTTTAAACAAACTGTCATATTGTGTGTGCACATGCCACCATGACCTGCATGTGTAAATCAGAGGATAAACTTTCACTCCTTCCATCAATATGTGCCCTGGGGTATCAAACTCAGGTTATCAGGCTTAATACCCACTGAGCCACCATTCCATCGCTAGGAAACTTTACAAACTACTGAGCTTTTTAACAAGAAAAGAAAAAAATCTATCTTGAATTTTACTAGCCTCCAATTCAGCATTTTCGCCTATTTTAATTTTAGGCAAAAACATTTAAAAAAAACCCTTCGGAGTACACTGCAGCTGGAGCAGATATCCCCACCACTGTCTGATCAGTACTGTCAAGCACTACTATTAAAAAGCACCTGGCGGCCTGGCGTTGATGGCGCATGCCTGTGATCCCAGCACTGGGGAGGCAGAGGCAGGTGGATCTCTATGAGTTCCAGGACAGCCAGAGCTGTTACACAGAGAAACCCTATCTTGAAAAGACAAAACAAAACACATGAAGTTGAGTAGTTATGAACATTCATACTCCCAGCTTGGGAGGATGGAGAATTCAAGGCCAGCCTGGCAAAAACCCATCTCAAAAAAGAAACAAAACAACCAACAACCAAATTAATAAAACTATATATGGGCTGGGAATGTAGCTCAGGTAGTGTTTGCCTAACATGTATGAAGACCTGAGTTCAATCCCCTGCACTAGAAACTAAAAATCTTTACTTTTATCATGGATTTGTTTTGTGATTTGATTCCTGTTTCAATTGAACAGGTTTCCTTTGTTAAAAATAAAGTGTTAGAAAACACCTTTAATCCCAGCATTCAGAAGTAGATGCAAGCTTCTCTGTGAGTTCTAAGCCAACCTGGCCTACAGAGTGAGTTCCAGACCAGCCAGAGCTACACAGAGACCCTGTCTCAAAAACAAAAGCCATACTAAAAAAGGACCCACAGAATTTACTAGCTGTCCAAAAAAGGATGCTCTCAAAAGATCTGTCCAAGAAAAACAAAAGAGATAGAGTGGGAGAAGGCTCAGTAGGTAAAGATATTTGTCACCAAGCGTGACCACCTATATTCAATCCCCTGAACTCCCATGGCAGGAGAGAAGCAACTCCACAAGTTGTCCTCTGGCTTCCAAGGCATCCTTGGGCAAAGATGGGTAAGGATAACAAAAAAGATGGATACAATAAAAATAACCAGCTAACCCCAAAAATTAAACAGAAGTAACCATGTGTTAAAAAAAACGTGGTGGCGCACGCCTTTAATCCCAGCACTCGGGAGGCAGAGGCAGGTGGATCTCTGTGAGTTCGAGGCCAGCCTGGTCTCCAGAGCGAGTGCCAGTATAGGCTCCAAAGCTACACGGAGAAACCCTGTCTCGAAAAACCAAAAAA